GAGCATGTATTTAGCATGAACGTTGCTTTTATCCAGATTACTGTCTAACTATTTTCTAATAACGGTATAGTCCACTTTTTCCAGAATCAAATGACTCAACCGCTTCGACGAGGTGCAGCCTGATCTTCTAAGTGTGTGGGAGCCTCTTGGCTCCTGATACTGAAGGGCATTTTAAATGCTGGGTGTCGAGGAGGAGCTCTGTATCTGCAGTGCAGCGCGTGTGTCTGCCAAACCTTAAGAATTTTTCCCAGCTGACTGATTTAAGCAACACATCCCAGGTGAAGGCCGTAGACTTCGGGCGGGCAGAGCAGCTGTTTGACTCTGACTGGGGTCGGTTTGGCTGACTTTGTGATTTTCAAAGGCGGACGGACATGTACAGTACGTCCTGCTACATTTGGAGGTGAAATATATATATAATATATATTTTATTTTTGTTGTTTTTTTCTGCTATGCCTGAGCTGACCTGTTAGAATATGTGCATTTAATCTTAAATAAAACTGGAATCTTTTGACACTGCAAGGGATTCCTGTTTGGCAAAATGTCACCATTTATCTATATGTCCTAGGTTGAGGGCATGTCAGGCTGTTGTAAACACCTAATCCCGTGGGAAAACCCCCCAAAAAATAACATCACAGCCTTCGAAAAAACTCCTTCTTGATCTACATATTTTGCAGGCGCCCTGATGGATTATCCTTCTCTCTCACACCATCTGAAGCCATATGTTCCTTACAGAAATCCATTAACCTCCAGCACTGGATCCTGAAACCTGTCCTGGAATCTAAACGCCACTGCATTTCAACTGCTGCCAAAATAAACATCCTTTTACTGGGTTGTTCTTAATCCACTGACCTACTTTATCAGGCTAAAGCACAGTAATTCTGCGGCCTCAAAGCCATCAGATTCAGACCTTTCAAATCCTTTCACTGCTGTGTATGTCATTTGCTAGGCACACAGGAGTAATACAAACCTCATCACAGGTATTTACAGTAGCTACTGTTCAGCTCAGTCTTTAAAATTGCTACATGACGGCCTGTTTTGTCTTAGGTCCATCTCCGACCATGTTAGATTTTACCTGACAAACCATAGTAAAATTTGTTGACTCGTCCTTCTTTGTTCATCAAACACTTGTTAGACTCCCAATGAGCAGGACTGCCCTTTCTGCTAACAACACATGCCTTCTGCCTTGGTCTAAATTAAAGCTCAACTAAAGCTCTGTCTCCATCTGCATGGCAAATGACACAAATGAATTGAATTTAAGTAAACAGTTATACAAAACTGCCACTGGACAGAAAATTGGCAAGCAAACTACAGACATGGCGGTAGTGACTCACTACAGTTCACTCACTGGTTCACTGGGCTGAGAGGAAGGGCGATTAGTGATTTTAATGGACAGAGATGCATTAACATTTTACAGCTCTCACTTCCCTTGCCAGTTTACTGTTTCAAAATAGGATTGGAGAATTGAAATGAAAAGAAAAACATGTAGTTTCAGGCCCCTGTTAGTTTATAAATTGTATGCTTGTGAGGGGGTACTTCGTTTCACACTGAAGAGGTAGTGATAAAAAGTCTTTACCTGTGAGCTACAATCCTAGAAACCTTGGTATTTCCTGAGCAGGATGTTGACATTGTGCAACATAAATGGCGACTTCTTTAGGTGCACACAGAGAGGATCTGGCCTTCTGAGGGTCTGTTATTTCCAGCTCAGGAGGTTATCTGAATTGACTGCACCATCCTGCTATACAGACAAATTGGACCAGATCATAAAGAGATAGAATTACATTAAAAGTGTCCCTGTGATTCAGACTGTAGATGACAAAGTATTGGTGAAGACGTACAGCACATTTTAAGTGGGACACAGTGTGAGGCCAATGAGATTTTAATGGAAGAAGGCTTAGATTGGTCTCTTTCTCTCGTGTGATGTGAGCAATTGTTTGTTGACCCCTTATCTTTTTGTGCAATCATCACGGTATTCCAACAGCAAAAGCATTGTACTGTACTGTATGTAGGAACTAAGCAATGTGGAAGGTCATGTCATGAGCTCCCAACTGCATGACTGTTACATGATCACCAAGATGGCAAGAATGTATCTCTTTTCAACCATCACCATGTTCAAGGCAGGATCAAAAAAGCTTTCCACTGCAGCAGATCACAAGCAGCCCTTGAGGAGAGGTGCTGCATTAGCTGCAGTGCACTCGTTTTTCCCTTACAGTGATTTTACAGCACTTCCAGGTGGGTCATGCTGGAGTGTGGCAATGGGGCTTTATGGGTTTCGCCGTCTTATTTATCACCTTTTTTCTTCAAATGAAGAGTTCCACCTAAGGCACAAATCTTGAAAAAGAAGATTTCCAATAAGATCTGTATTCCTCTACCCCTCCCTTTATCAATTTAGCCCAGCTTTGATGGTGATCAACCACAGAAACTAGAGATCTCCTTCTTGATATGTTTGCGAACACCTGCAGGTAAGAAGATTAAAGACAGTCTTTGGAAACAAAGCATTTTTTAAATTCTGAATATATCTGCCAACCCCGCCTAAATGCGACTGCAGTAAATTACAAAGTGCTGGAAATGACAGACCCTTGGAGACTGAACGTGTTAATCTACAGTACAGCATGAGGCCTGGAAATACAATACACAGAAAAAAGCCGTCTTCTTTTTTTTTTATAAAAAAAGCAGAACAGTGTGAAGACTTTTCAAGGCTAGGATGTTTGACCAATGGGACGTCTTTTGGGGGTTAATTAAATCCCTGTCCCATTAAACTTTGCTCCCCCGTGTCTCCTTCCAGATTGATAAGTCTATCTGTAGTGTAATGGAGCTTCTCCATCTGACACATAACAAATGAATTGGCCGATGATTTATAGTGGAAGGGGAGTTCTCCTTGATAGGGAAAGGGTGGCAGTCCTTTCCTGGCTGCTTAAGGGGTCAGTGGAAAGACTCCCCCCCCATCATTCCCCATAGCACATGCACAGTGTCTGTGGAGACCCCTGCATGTCACTGTATTAAAGAGCTGGGGAGAAAGCAGCGCCTGAGCCGTGAGGATACTGCTCAGTCAACTCAACTGTTACGGTTGTCTCGAACATCTGACAAGCCCCGTGCAGAGATCAGCGCCTCCGAATATTTTCAGGATTTTCTCATCTGTCCAGATGGATATCTACACATGGATATCACTCCATATTTAATCAGAAACTAGAATCAGACTGATAATAGCAGTTCTGAAGAGGTACAAGAGGTTTTGGTGATCAGATTGGTTATAATTATTGGATATTTTCCACCAGCCTTTTGGAAACAATGTATTGAACAATATACCTTTGTGGAAGTGGACTTCAATCTTCATTGGTATCCACATGTTATCACTAAAGATTTTAAAATCGTTCTGTAATCCTCTAAATAACCTCTAACAAACAGAATAATAATTCCTCACATTTATAAAGATTTAATCCAAAAGCACTTTGGATAAGTAACCTGAAATGGTGCTCAGCTGAAGGAAAGTGTGGCAGCCAGTATGCTTTGGAAATTGTTTCACTACAGTTCTAATCATTATGAGCAGAGCAATTACGTTAAATGCATTGTTCCTTTTTAAGCTTTAATGTTAAATGTGAAGCATCGCTTGCTTTGTGTCTACAGAGCAAACTACATCTGAAAAGTTATCGCACCCATTGTTTCTGATGATTTCACTTATCATTCCTTAAGAGACAGGATTGTAGATGACGTGACTTTATACAAATCAACTAAACAAGGTTCTAATTTCTAAATGCAATGAGGACAGCATCTGTCTAAATGACTGAGATTTTTATTTTATTCTCTCCCTTAAAGCCCATCCATATCCCAGAAGCACTTCCTTTAAAAAATAAACCCATGTTGACTGATGACGGAAAATTGAATTTTATTGTGAGAAAAGTTTGTCATTCTGAGGGTTTTTTCCAAATAATTTTAAAAGTAATCTAATAAAAACATGTTTATTTCATACAAGTCATAACCTTGGTCACAACACTTAGGCAATAAATGGTGTACAGACACGTTAACCCAATAAAAGATTTGCTGCTAATTATAAATATTGTATTTCGAGATCAGTGAGAAAGTTACTCATGCTACAGAAAACTGCATTGCGACCCACATTCAGAATCTGTAGACCTCTCGTCAGACAGTGACAGTGACGTCTAACGGCCTTTTCTCATTTTGCTAGGTATTTATGTATTCATTTAGTTTTTGGTTCATTTATTTTCAATCTGGGTAAGCGGTATTATGGAAAGTGTGTACAACCAAGTGGAGCACCGCTGGAATCTCTATCTGGCTTGAATATCATGTAATGCATCCCTGTTTAAATATCCACAGTATGGCCATCGCATTTCCACACCGTATAATGAGATAGGGTGGATTAAATTGTCTTAGCATGATGGGTCCTGACTAATGCAGCGGAGGAGTGTTGATACAACTGGGGGTCCTACTTTGAAGTCAGTCGCAGGTGTGGATGAGCTGGGCAATCTGTTGGCTTTTTTTTAGTGGGATGCAAAGGGTCACGCGATATTCAGCTAAAACGGTACAATGCCCCAAGAAACTAGACGATTACACACCTGGATCTGAGTCATCCATGCCCAGTCTTAGGTCAGCTTGTAAACCAGCTCAGCAACATAGCCACTAGGCTGGGCTTTGTTCTGGTCTGCATAGCACAAAGGGGACATAAAGCATGGCCTAAGGGAAATAAAAAGAACGCCGACAAAGTCGATCAGAGACTGAAGGGTCATGAACTATTTTTTAAGATTAATGGGTGCTTCCTTGGACAGGCGTAAAAGATTTAAATGGCTTTTAGTTGGTGGGGGGTTAATGAAGTCACAATGAGTTTGATGGATTTGTTTCTTGTTTTCCACCTCATCCATTGTAATATTACGTCACTTCAACACCAAAACTATTATTAACATTATTAATATTTAAAAGGTGGGATCTCATGAGAGTACATGCGAAATGAGTGGGCTACTTTGGTCTTGAAATTATCTTCGGATAATTATGCTCATTACATAAATTGGGGGAATTCACAATCTTTCACAGGATTCCCTTAGGTGATTTCCTGTCATACACTTTGCATTTAGCAATACAATAACACGGGGCCTAAAAACACAATGTTGTGCATGAAAACGTCAATGGACTATATCCGACAGGAACCGCAGACTGAAACTGTAATACCCATGCTGATACAGTAAGTCTTTTTGTTCAGATTAGTTCGGCTTAACCCTGAATCCAATTTTTGTAAAAATGGAATAATTAAACACAACTTGACATTAAAAAAAAGAAAGAAGGTTCCATAAAAGCAGACAAAACAAATCAACCAAATATGCGATTCCATTAATTTGTCAAGATTCATTTTGTTTAAACAAAACCAATCCTATCCAAAACAAATGTGTTCCGTGAATGGAAATGGCCTCTCTGTTGTTTTTTTAAATGTTAAGGTACTTGTTTCTGCTTTCACAACACAATTAAACATTCCACAGGATTCGCTTTTGAATCAGTCGAGATAAACAGAAGCCTGCAATCAGACCACTTCTTTGTTCTGATTCTGACACTACAAATGCGGCTGTGCATAGGATTCTTTCCCTCCTTCGGAAAAAATAAACACACGCGCCTCTGCAGTTTTTTAAGTGAATATTACAGGGAAGACACTGAAGGTTCCCCTTGTTAACTTCACATGCTTCAGGATTAAATACCTGAGATGACAGATAAACATTCGTGCTGCTAAGGACACCAGTACACAACGTCTATGGAATAACGTGTCCTGTGCAACTGTTAGTTGTTCCTAGAAAAGGAATGATGCACTTCTGCAGTACTACATGCAATAAATCCCAAGGTTTAAACCATTCACATGTGCTTCATGGACAAACGCATCATTCATTGATACCAGGAAACACCACGGGGCAGGTCCCATGACTGACTTCCCTTTTAAATTAATTATTGATTTATTGAGTGGCTGTTATATGAAGTTTTGTTGAAATGTAACGGTTAAAGTTGAAAAAAATGCAGAGCCTTGTGAGTGTCATGAATTCTTGGCTTGTTCTTCAGTACACCACCACACGGTAATGTTCTCCAAGGAGCAAACTTGCACACCCAGGTTTCGTTTCAGGCTGAATGTTTTGTGATTCCAGGGTTTGTTTACACATAGTAGCAGAGCCCTGTTCTGAAAAAAAAAAAACTGCTCTTAAAGTGAAGTCATTTTTAACTGTGGCCCTGCCTTTTTGTCGTGTATCATTAGATGTTCCTCTCAAAACTGGAAAGCCAATTATATTTTATGAAAGTACTGGCATTAGCAAAAAAAAAATGGGGAGCTCTCTGTTCAGCCTGCAATCAAACAGCTTCAAACGTGAGCACTTCAGCTGGTTTGTTCAACTATCTGACTTTTTGCAGTTAGAAATAATCGCTTACAGAGGAAAGAAAATGGAAGGAACCTTTGTTGCATTTTACAGGCATATTCTCTTAATTAAAAAAACAGCCGATGGCTTGTTTTTGTGGGTAGTCCAAGGTAAAAGGTTGCAAATTTTCTGCAGCTCAGAAAAATATCAAAAGCATACATGAAATGTCACTTTATTGAAAGGGTAGTGTTATTTTCATTGTAATTTTAAAATGTATTCATTCCTCCCAAAACAAGAATGATCAGCAATAAGCCATGGTACATGAAACACCTCAATCATACAAGCCTCAAGTGATGTAAAAACAGCTTCCCATACAGCACATAACAATTGAGATATTGTAAGCTTTTAACAGGTCTTGTTCCATGAAATACATACTGGTAGCCCCGTAACATAAAGAGATGTTGGACAGGACAGGAGTTTTTGGGTAAAATGAAATCTCAGCTCTGTAATCTAAGGGGTCCAACCCCAGTACTCGAGCAGTTTTCATTCCAGATCAGCTCTAAATAATTTAAGTTGAAATCAGCTTCAATGGAGCAGTTTAGCATATTTTTTTCCTGTTCCTAAGATATAAAGAAACCCATAAGCTCTTCCTGGACTGGACTAGGGCACTCCTGTTTTATGATCAACTGTCTTATTAGGATTAGCCATTCTGAGTCTATTATGGACCCTATAGAAATCCTCAAAGTCCTCTACAGGTGATCAAAGTTTTATATTTGATCGCTCAGTAATGAAACAGGCAAGAATGCACGTACAGAAGTCAGGAGAAGATTAATTTTTCTTCCCTACGTTGAAATGCAAAGTATGACTTGTCTTTTCTGCTTATGTGGTCTCCACTGAGAATTCCACTGAGGTGAACCAGTTGGTGAGCTTCACTACCAGAGAAGCTAGCCAATTACTTGAGATATCTTGGCTTTGGGATTCAATGGGAAACAGGCTGAAAATTATTACTGACCTGTCACTAAAACTTAGAATCTGCAATTTGTTTTCACTTATCATAGGGGCCCCTTACAGTTTTTGGAGCTAATTTTATTCTGTTGAGGAAGAGGCATGAAATAATCCTGTTCACAGACAGGATGCAGTGGGCAGTCTTGGTGCTCGCATGCTTGCATGAGCACTCACACAACAGGATATCACTAGGGGGCAGTACTCACATACAGCATCGGTGTTTCCCTAACTGGGGGGTCGAGGTCCCCTAGGGCACTAGTGGTGGGGGGGTCTCTGGGGGCTTGCGAAGATGTGACTAATCTATTCTCTTGCCCTGCTCTCAGCAAAGCAGTCGAAAGTGATTTCACGCTTTTTAATACAGACACTGCCAGGCACCATCTGATGCAAACAATCCGAGGGGTCTGGTGAAAGCCTTACTTCACGCTGTCAGGCAAGCACCCTTCCTCAAAAAGTAAAAGGTTTTTTGTTTTTGTGCATGTGGGGTTTGGTTCTGTAACCGAAATCTCTTATCTCCTCTATTTCTTTTGATATCTACCTGCTGTAATCGCCATCTCGCTGACGCACTTTTCCAGGCGACTCAAAAGGACTAGGGTGTCAGAATCTCTATAAAAGTTTTTTGTCTTATATCTCAACTGGAGAGCAGAGCAGGAGGCCAAGTAACTTGCTCACACAGTCAGGGGAACATTTTTGACACTACCCTGTTTTCCTTAACCACTACCGTACCCACTCTCCTCAACTGCTTGCTTTTAAAGTTGTTTCTCTTTTGCTTGTTTAAGTGGGTGCAACCACTGTACTGCCAAAGAGTGAACACACACACGCATACCCTTCCCACTGAGTTGCACGGAGCTTAACAAATGTATTTTTTATTTTTTTCAAAATTGCATTTTTACAAAACAGGACGACTACCGAAAAGTTAGTCGACAGAACAGATCGTTTTGGTGTTTTTTTTTACAGAACACGTTTGCACAATTCAGAAACACTTCTTCAAAACCATCTGAACAATCCCTTCGATGCTCATCCCATCGCAAGCCTCACCCACGAAAATCACACTCTGACTGGACCATGACAAGATGGGATCCAAAGACCAGATAGCAGGCAGACTGACTGGCTGTTCCCTTTCTGCTAAAAGTCAGATTGAGGTGGTTTACACAGATTGTGCTTAATATTTATATATATTCTGTTGTCATTGATCACAACAGAAGAGTGCAATCGTATCTTGCTTTTTTAAGGGTATACTTTCTACAAAAAATTGGCACATTCAGACATGAACTTTATAATATCGGACAATAATCGACAGTTTCCTTTCTTTCTTATAAATACAATATATTCTCTTTCTTTCGCAGCACCTGAAATCCACATAGAAACCTTACAAAGATGGGTATGTACAGGTGAAGGTGAGGGATCAGATGCACACAAACCCACAAATCATAAATAAAAAAATGCAAAAGTCCATCGCTCTCATTAGACAAGGCAGGTCATAATCACGTCCAGTACTCTTCTTTTCCTCTGGTGTTCTGTTCCTCTGAAGAAGCTGGGAGTCGCGGAAAAATGGAGATGTACTGTAGCAGAAACGCCGAGAAAAAATACTTCAGACAGTCCCTCTCTTTCTGCTTATCTCTTTTCCTGAAAATAAATAAAGAAGTGATCAACCTGTAAGTATTCCATCTTTCATGACATGTTTATGTTGTAAAGACACAATTCAAGCTATACAGTGAGAGGTCTTGGCCATCATCCAGGTGGATGCTGCACATTGGTGTTGGTGGAGGGGAGTCCCCATTACCTGTAAAGTGCTTTGAGTGGAGTGTCCAGAAAAGTGCTATATAAGTGTAAGCAATTATTATTATTATTTTTATTATTAAGTACAATGGATCCCAGTGTTCATGTGCGACACAGAGACCGATTTGAGCTCCTGCTTCCAGTGTGATAGATCTTCTCGTCGGATGTTTCTTGTGGGTCTGTAAGGTAGTTCAGAATGTAGTCAGGAGTTTCGGCACATTGTGCCAGAGGAGTGAATTGAAGGATAAACCAATAATCAAAATGGATGACATGTCTATGTTCTGAAACACCATTTCTTCCTCTTTCAATCTCACGTGAAACACTTAATGAGCACACATGCACCAGCAGCCCATGCAGGCCAGATATATGACATAACAGTATTTTGTCAGGGCCCTCCATAAACAACATGCTGCTGTGGATCGTAGAGCTTTTGTATTACACTATCCCAGCGAAAACAAGAGGAGGTCAGTAAAGGTACAATTACATTCTGAAGTGATTTGATTACTTAAGTTTTTTTGGCATCTCACTAAAAAGAAAATCGTCCCAAACTAAAGACTCAGAACAAAACACAAGATCCAGTGTTGGTTTCCTAGAGATGCCCTTCACTGATCACCACGCATGAAAGTCAAAGGGCTTCGATGATCTTCGAATGGATTACATGTTCAGAGCAGGAAAGGGGGGAAATAAAAGCAAGCCCCAGTTGAGGAATCCTGTCCATCAAGGCCATCCATTGAGGGGATCCGTCCAAGTGGAAAAGCTAAAACCTAAGTCCAAAACCTCACGACAGGGAGAGTGTAACCTGAAACTCCTTCCCTGTGGAAAACACAGCCCCCTTTTGTGCGCACTTGCTTTTATGTTCCCAGTGGAAACCCGAGAGATCAGTCACTTCAGAGGGATTGTGACTTCATGTTGACCTCTGGTCCAGAGCAAGTGGAGTCTGAGGGCAGAGCCTTTCGCCGTGAAAGAGTGAAGGAAAGCCTGGAACCTCTCAGCCTCTTCTGGTTTTGCGGTGAAGCGATCACAAGGAGATCCGATTACCTTTGAAGTCTTTCTGATCTTCAGAAGAATCATAATTCTTAGAATTTGTTTTTCAAAAATACCTAGTCTTTACATAATGTTAGCAATAATTATGTCCTATACAAGAAAATCTGTTTCGTGTAGTACTTGAATAAATTAGTCTACTACTCCCTACGGCTTTTCCCCAGTGCTGGGTAAGACGTTTCTAAAAGTACAAAATTCATTCACAGTAGGCCTCTCTTCTGCTTTATTAATTTTACATCTTAAGAATTGCGAATTGCATTTTTAATCATGCTTTTAGAGAAAATTATTGCCTTGATTTCTGACATTTTCAGCATTCACGATTCTGAATGTTCCATAATAAATCTTTGAGCTCCTTCGTTCATTATGAATCATATATATTCGTTTGGGTGGCACTGAAGTTGTTGATCTCGTGCTTTGTGGTGCATTTAAATTTAAACACATATCCAATGACTGTGATTTCAACATTGAGTGTGGGATACTCAGATTTTAAATGGATATCAATCATAAGTAGAAATGTTACAGAATTCAAAAGTATGGAAGAAAACAAAAACAAGGGAAAGTGTTAGCTTTCAACACTGAACAGACCTGTAACATCACTAACAAATCGGCTGCCTAGAGGGGAAACACGCTTTTTTTAAAAACACGTTGCTGCTGCAAAGCCACAGAGAGGATAAGAAGTGTGTGGGTTTAGGGCTTTAGATACTGTGATGACTATTTGAAGTTTGTAATGGAGCTGAAATGGATGTGTGTCGCTGAAGTGTCAGCTGGAGCCCTGGGGATAGGAGAGGGTAAGGTGACGACGCTGCTGCCTCAACCTGTCTGTAAATAACCCTATCCCGAATCCTTAATCCTTAATCCTGCAGGGGTCTGCTCTTTGACATTAGGTGATTGAGCTGCCCCCTCCTCCAGCTGTTATGGCAAATGCACACCTGTAAAGCAAGCCCTAAGGTGTTTTTTTAAAATAGATTTAATTTCTTTTCATTTTTGCCTGTGCATTTTTTAAATATGACAGTCCTATGCCATGAAGCACAGTTTCATAACCAGAATTAACAGGGGCTGGCGCACTGAATTAAAAAATTAGAAATGGGAAAATAACAGCTATGGAAAATCTGCAGAACATGGAAAAAAAAATCTGAGTAATGTAATACAGTTTTATTATTTTATTATTATAATAAATTATAATTTATTATTTTTTATTAAGTACTGCATCTGAATTTGACAAGGAGAACTAGATACCAAACAACAGGAATTGATCATTTCAAAAGTCGAAAAGGCTGTCACCTACTCCTTTGTAGCAATAAAATCTGATTCCACAACAAATTACAAATTACAATTCAAAACTACAATCTAGAACAAAATCTGTATGGGTTTGGTTATGATGGATTTTTTCCATTAGTGTTATGAATGCAGCTTTAAAACCAAATGCTCCTTCCCACTCAATATTTACAGAATTAGAACGGGCGATTTTTGCATTTTTCTTTCACTGCAGAATAATTCTGTCTCCTCCAGGTTTAATAAACCTCGAATGGAACACTTTCGTTTTTATTAAAAAGATAGAAAGTAGAGACTGCTACTGTATATGGGCATACAGGCAGTCTCTGGAAAACACAGAAGACAGGAAACAGAACGACACAACGTGTAGAGAGTGTTTTTCTCTGTGAGAATGTTACTGTAGAGTTTTTGGGACCAAGAGCATAGGCTTTGTCCATAAGAAATAATGTAATTAGCTCAAGATAAGTTCCCAACAGTTTAGACATGGGCACATACATTAAGTGTAACGATAACCCATAAAAAAAACAACATATAGAAAAAGATAGCATCATCAGCCAGCTCCTTTCACACTGCGGTTTCGTCAGAACTGTCAGAGTCATTCACTGCTCCAGGGTCGATTTTTTTTCCCACACGATGTTCGTGTGTTTTCAAGTTAGCAATCCATCGGTTGAATCAGGGACATGGGGCACGGTCACAGGAGCTCTGAAGGACTTTAATGCCGGGGAATAGCGATGGATAATCTAAGGCACGCATAATGGCGCTGTCTACAAGGGGAACATTTGAAAGGGTGTTAGATTTTGCTCTTCACAATATATTTTTTACAAGATAACCCCGCGAGGCATCTTACGTCGCTGGCTTTTGGTGCCTTGAGTAACGGCACAGGCGCTGGGAATTGAAAAACAGGGAAGAACAGCCTGTAGTGGCTCGTAACAAGGACCACCGGGATACCCACACCGGCACGTTTTTCGCACGGAGGCCGTAACAAACCACCACAGCGACTCCTGCCCCCTCACCTCACTCCGCTCTGCAATCGGCCGGCTCCTTCCTGGCACGGGGCCTCGAGACCCTGTCGAGCCCCTGGAAGACGAGCTCCCTGTCGTGGAGCAATTGCTCGACACCTGGCCCCTGGACAGGAAACTGGGTCTGCTGTAAGGGATGATGTCCTCGTCTGAGGAGGAAGATACGCAGTCGGGTTAGACGACAACAGCTGAACGATGAACTCATTTTAAACACCAATACCTCTGCACCCCCCTCCCCACCCCCAAATAAAAAATCTTAACAATAAAATTGATAACATTGCTGACTTCTAGACTTTTATTTATGATTAGATTATGAGCTGCCTCACTAAATCTAAATGAGGATGCATGATGAAATCTAACTCCTAGAACATGCCAATCCTGCAGGCTGAGTTTGGACTGTTTTGCCCATGTGGGTGTAGAACAGGGGACGTGTCTCACCCTCTCTGTGTCGCTGTGCCGAGGCCTTCCTGTGGGGGGTGCTGTGCTCTGCCCGCCGCTCCACGGACGAGGGCGCGCTGCCGTCTCTCTCCAGCGATGTGCGGCTGCAATCCAGGCTGCCCGCTGAGACCTGGGGGAACTCGTCCGCGGGGGGCGGCTCTGGAGGCGGGGGCAGGTCTGCAAAGACAGCGCAAGTCACACTGTTACCTCCTACGTCACACACATCCCTGTAACAGACCTGTATACTCCATCACATTATGTATGAACACTTCATGTGTCGGGTTTCTAAACCCACTGTCTGGTTTAGACATGACATGATTGATCTAATCATAATGTATAAATCCAGCTTATTTTGAAAAACAGTTTGAAGCAGTTTTTTAAACAACTGACCTCCAATGTGTTTTACTAAAGTGCACTTAGCTGGAGCCCCCTTTTATAATTTCATAAAACTCTTGCAAACAATCCTATGAATCTGGCAAAATTTACATTAGATCCTGTCATATTCATGTTCCCAACAACCAGCTGTTGATGGGCCAATTTTAGTACATTAAAACCATATTCAAACCTCACCCCCACAGTGATAAACGGAGCTCATACTGCTCTTGGACAGATATTGCATTACAATCCCATGTATAAATAAATAAAAAGCAGATAAATACTGTGCCGTTCTTATTTGAAGAATGAGTATTATAGGTAGACGTGGAGGACAAAACTGTAAATGAGGGACACCAAGTATATTGAAAGCAAGAGCTTCTGCACATAAATAATATTCGTTAGGCAAATATCATCCCAGCTTAGGGTTGCTTATTAATATGCTGAACACACCTGGTTGCTTATAATAAATAATGACTTGCTTGGACATGGCCGCTAGACGAGACTTCACTGACTTTAAAAGAGGGGTGATTTCTGGGGAACGTTTGGCAGGGGTTTCAGTGACCAAGACATGAATGTAAATTTCACTATAATAATAACAACAACAATTCATCATCATCATTATTATTATGATCATTATTAAAGCTTTGGTTACTTTTTAAAAAAAAACTTGTGAAAATTATGGTATGAATGCTACAAATACTATTAAATAATGCTGCAAATTATTATTAACAGTGCCAAAATAAACATGCGTATTAGAAAAGACTCATAATCTGTATACACTCTCTTTACATAGTGCAAAAAGGTCTTCTGCTTTTTGATAGAATATTATAACTTGTATGAAAGCACGTATTTATGAAGTTTCATGCCAGATGGCATTATTCTGTTATAGTCTCATATATTTGTTATATACAGTATGTTTGCTCCTGCTCACTGTTTCTGCTGTACTTTATAAGACCAAAAAAAAGTCCACTTCTCCAACTCAATACAGACCATTAAAGAGTGAAATAAATCCTTCCATTTTCAAGGTTTGTTTAACTGTTTTTGTCTGTTTTAAATGTAAATTAATTAATTAGTTCTTAAAGTAATGGTTAAGGTTTCTAATCTCTTTTATGTGTCTGTTTCTTGCTTACCTTGGAAAGTTCCCACAAAATTAGTATATGGATTTAAATGCTATTATTATTAAAAAACTACATTAAAAGTGCATGAGTAAACTGAGACACAAACTTACCTCCTTGGTTCAGTTCTCTCCTGTACTGGACAGTCTTGGACGATTTCTTTTTGGCTCGTGATTTCTGTCCTGGGGGTGTGTGAGTGCTGTCACCTGGTGCGAGTCGAGCACGGCCTATAAAAATGAATCACGCACTACTTAATTGATTGTTCCAAATCACTACTTAAAAGACAACGCCAAACGACTGAAAGGAAGGTGAGATGATTATTGTAATGGCAATTTATTTTTAAAGTAGCAGGTGAAGGATCAGACTTTGCTGAAAGGTAAAGGAAAGAAATATAGTATTTAAACCATGGAGCCTTCTACACCATGGAATGAAGCCGACACCCTATATGAACGTCTTGATTTATTATCAGATACTTTTAAAATGTATTTCTATTTTATACCCACCCTATGTTGTATGGCAATTGTCATGGCTCTTGTATTGCATGGTGAGACAAGCCCCTTCAACAAGCCCATCATTTAGATATTCACATTTTGGCATGCTGAAAGCTCCATAGCCACTGGCAGGTGAGCTGACATTGATTGGAGGGATAGCACATTGTTCACTGACATCATTGCAAGCTTGCAGATTTCCAGGATTTACTGAATGCAACAAAGTCAATGTAACTCGGGTGGCACTGAGCTATAAGCGAGCTTCTGGTTGGTGTTCTCCAGTCACAGTCACCAAATGACTTGACCCTCACATTAACTTGCAATGGTTGGATTACAGAGATCCAGCTTCACTTGGAGGTATTGTATAATTAGTTAAGCACAAGTCTGGTAAACAAGCAGCAAACTATTTGTTCCAAGGGAGCATGGTAGGTCACCTGTGAAAGTTCACTCATCTATTATGTAGATCCACTATGAACTTATTAGTGCACAAGGATTGGAAGTTTTATATGTTAATCTTGTCTCACTCTTAAAGTTTTAATCATTCTGGAGCAATAAGCGGTATTCTTCTCCCAGGAGTAATTTAATTCAGTGACACTACAGAACCAATATAGTTTAAGGCATGTTTTATTGAGCTTTAAAAACAGTGTCTCTTTTCTTAAGGGTTTTTCACAGAAATAAGTTGGTCGTTCCTGCACTTAAACTAGAAAAATATAATTTAAATACTCTGATATAAACCATAATGAAACATAAGCTTAACAGGGAAATGTGACTTAAGGCTTATGAGACCAAAAATGTAACTTAATCTGTAAATGTGCTTGCAGCAAGCATTAACAATGTGTGTTCTTATGAAACGCCACTGGAGGGTATTAAAATTCCAAAATATGCCATGACTGAAAGGTGAGAACCTAGCCTTAATGATGTTTCCTTCTGTTTCTGTGACTGATATTTACTTTAGAGTTCTGTAAAATTACAGTCTGTTACAGTGCTGTCCACTTCCAAAAAGCAGTTTATTTTCAAAACACGTCAAAGTCAGCATGTTTAAATGACCAAATGATTTTAACACTTTGCATAATCTTTAGAATACAAAAATAATTATGTGTACAGTATATATTTATTTCTTTCTTTCCCTTTTGGGAACTTAAGTTTATGACTGACCTGGCCCTGATGAGCTGACGTTATCCACACTCAGCACTGCGCCCTGGCTTTGGTCTCGGCGGTGGCCAGGCCGATGCATAGGTGAAGTGCCGACCTCAGAGCCTTCCTGCACCATCACCAGGTTGGGATTGGACTGTGTGAGTGGAGGGCTGGGAGCCCGGGGTACAGGAACTGGTCCACATGGCACCCTCCTAAAAGTAACAAACGGACAACCACATGGAAATATTTGTCTTGACCTGATCCCTTATTCCTTATACCCAAGCACCAGTAGTGATAGTTGTCATTACCATTTTAGTGCAATATGCAAGCTTTCTACCCCCATCAGATCTACTCAATTGCATGTTGCACACCGTGGCAAAGGGCAAAAGAAATGAGAGACATTTGGCCAGCCTACAAAAGGCTCCCCAAAACACAGATGCAGATTTCTTTGAACCCTTTGAAACCCTAACTAGCCTGTGATTGTGACTCTGTGGTAGGCAGTAGAAGATACTGTGGCAACTGTAAGCTATCCTAAGGTGAATTGTGCTGACACGGATTTGGGTAAGAACTAGTATTAAGTAACATGTGCTGAAGGTGGCTAGAACTGAATGGATTCATATGGATTCCTAATGAAAGAAGAGGAAATATCAGATACTTTTGCAGGCGGAAGCTTGGGGAGGGGAAAGAGTCGAGGGTCAACACCGCAATAGTTGGACGCCAATGGAGAGGAGGGGGGGGATTAATATTGTAATATAGCAGAACTCTCTTGTTTTTTCTTCAGGATAACTAAAACAAGGCAACCATTTTTTGTAGGATTGTTCATCCGCATCTCCTCCGTTCCCTTAGACGCTTGACCAGGGTTCATGGAAGCGTGGTGTGGGTATGCAGTACCTTGCGAGCTGTGGCATGTCGAGGTGGTGCAGCCGGGGGATGTCCTCTGAGGGTCGGCCCTCCTCTCGGGGGGAAGGGGTGAGCGTGGCTGTGGACTGGTGCCCGTATGAGGTGGCTGGGGATGAGGCTTCCCCACGAGGTGGAGGGCTTGGTACATCCTCTGAGGGGCCGTCCGTCAGGTAGGTCCTCTCTGGCAGTGGGGGGCACCAGTCTTCTTCCTCAGAGCTGAGGGAGGGAAGTGGCCAATACCCGCACGTCAGTGAGAGAAACAACGTCACGCGGCTCACTTCCAATAAGTACCAGATTGTAAAGTTGTTAAATGCTTTAGGGCTAGAGTGAGTAACCATGCTGGAAGAAACGTCATTCAACGTCAACGTCAAAAATAAAAGGTGGCATTCCTATAATACAGAAGATTTATCCCTGGATAGAGCCAGTGTCAGGGGATTCACAAAAACAAGAATGCTCTATCTGCCACTGGGTTTTTATGGTTACACATGGAGAGGAGGTTATCATTAAATGACAAGCAAGGGGTTGAATTACAAGACCGAAGGACACCAAATATGGATAAAATAACTGCTGCAGAAGAGACAATTTCATACCACGCTGCATGGAAAGGACACTTCTACCAATCAGTAGATTGTGCAGCTAACTTATACATACATCACAGTAACCAAACTGAACAAATGAATCCATTCCTGCTCAATATTGCTTTTCACACATGATTAACCCTTCCAGCAAATCAACCTAGATTGTCTCTTTCCAAAATTACCTGGAGTGTGTATTTAAGCAGAGTTATCAGTTTTATTTTTTTTTGCAGCTTGCACCTAGATATCACACTTTAAATACCTTCAAACAGCATTCAGTTACATTAGACCATATCATATTTCAGCTTTTAAAATTCCTGTGTGCAATGCAAGGGAGCACATTTAATACAGTTGCATTCTGTTGTTTTTTTTCTGACAATGGTAATCTTAACAAGGAGGACTGAATAATGATATTTCAGTTTGAAGAATTTACTAGCTGTAGTTTCTTTAATATAACTGACAAATCTTTTTTTCTAACACATTCGCATGAATTTGAAAGCAATTATCCATTAGGCGAGGGGTAACCAAACTTCATTCTAATGAAGTCATAATGCTGCCTGAGTCTGGTTAGTTCTAAAGGTTAATGGTATTGGTAGGAGGCATATCGATTTCCACTGTCAGTAGGATAATTAGCCACCCATCCCTCCAGCCATTAAGATTACTCTGACTCTCAGAATTAAAGAAGGCATCAAGCTTCTTGGAAATGTAAATGACTTGAGTTAAAAAGGGCTGGAAATACGATCTTCTGAATCTGAGGCTTTCCCTACAGCAATTACTACACCACATACTGTATGTCAAATCATGTTGGCATATAATTAACACTGAATGCACGGCATGAGACTATCGCTTTTCTGTCAAATGTATTTTGTCAGAAAACACGATTGATAATGTAGGAATGCAACAATACTGTACAAGAATGTGCAGAAATGAAGGATTCCAAAGACTTGATTCAAACTCAATTCACTCATTTTTATGAACAAAAATAAAATTATATTTTTGAAAAACAGGTAAAAAGAACAGACAGGTCAGATCAGCTGGTATATAATCTACATCAAGTTACATCTGATTTTAGATGCATCTATGATGGAGTAGTGGATGATAATGCTCATTTTATAAGGAGAGAAAGCATTAAAAATACTATTCTGACAATAGGCTAATGTTATTCTAAAGAGCACAAGGTAGGAATCCTTGTCAAAACAGCTTAGTTTCATCGTGTTGTCTTTCCAATTGTATCTACCTGTCAGAAGCTGTTAAAAGCACCAGTTAATATGCCTGATTCCAGTAAATTTTTGCCAGTGGCGTCTTCCTGAGTTTCACAGTGTAACACAAAAACCTGATCTTCTTTCCCAGCCTCTGGCGCTCTTCAACCTTGTGCCCCAGTGTCATTAGAGTCTCATCTGTGCATGTAACGTTATTAACTAGTGTCAGTTCGAGAGGTAATTTGTAACTGAAGAGAGGATGAAAGCTGCCTTTATTAACAAGCTAGTTGTTACACATTAGGATGCTCAGCAAGAAGGCAGAGACTGAAGCTCAATTCACACATTTCATTAAGCCTATGGGAAGGAGAATCTAACAAAATCAGAACAAGAAATTCAAGAAAGTGTGCTGAAAGAACGTGTGACTTTGTTAGGAGCTCCTCCCCCATAATTACAAGGAATTCAGTACAGTGTGGCGAAAGATCACAGCCTATGATCTTATATGACATCTTAATAACTTTCGCAGAATGAAAGGACTTTCTTGCACACTTCCAACCACACTGTGATAGAAAATGTAAACACACACACAAGCTCAATAATGGCTCAGTCGAAAATGTCACAATAACCCGGTTCAACCTTTTCGATTGTCTAAGGAAAAATGTTCACTGCTGTGTTGCCATCTTAGTGGTGTGCACTGTGCTGCAACACTTATGATACTTCTGGGAAGAAAGAGTATAAATGAATGAGCTCAACTTCTGCACAGAACGTGCAGTGGTCTGATTCAATCAAAACTTTGGAAACTCTTAATATGACTAAGTTTAAAAGGGGTGACTGCATTCAAAGAATTGACAACTCACCCCAGCTCTTCATCATCCCCGTCTTCCTCCGACTCTTCAACGCACTCTTCAAGCTCTCCGGCAGGAGGTGGCGGAGGTAAGGACTCGGTCCAGTTCAGAGAAGGTGTCTTCACTGCTTTCCCCATGGATTTCTGCTTCCCCAGTTTCACAGCTGCAACACAGGGACCCAGAGCTGACCCACTTAACACATGGCATCTTAAGAGAAGCCTCGATAAAAGATCAGTGCTATTGTATGCATCCTGAACTATATTATACAGCATCATAGTAAGACTGATCAGATTTAACAGGTTAGCACGGACAGATCATTTTACAAATAAATTGGCTTTTTGCCATGAAAACAGAATAATCTTTTCAGTAAGATACATTGTGGCAACACGTGCTGCAGTGTGTGGCAGAATAATAGAGTGAACAAGAACAAGAATAATAGAATAAGAATAATTACATAACAGGGTTATCATAAGAACATGGGAAGGGGCCACAAACAAGAGAAGGCCATTTGTCTCTTCCAGCACCATTAGGAGCTTTTAGCAATCTAAATCATTCTAGATCTGCATGATAGCCGATCAGGACATGGACAATGTCCGTAACATTCAGTACAAAGCACAGCCTTCTCTTACCATTGTCCGTCCTGGAGCGGTCGGGCTGGGCATACTGAGACCCCGAGGGTCCTGGCTGTGCCATCCAGTGCCCTCCCTCCTGATCAGGGCTGTAGGGGCCCTGGGTGGCAAAGGGCATGACAGGCGTACTGGCATAAGGAGTAGCGTGCTGGGAATAGGAGGAGTTGAAGGTGCGGAGGTCATCGCTGGTTGGGTCAATGGTGCTATAGATAGGCCCCTCATTGGACCCAGAGCTAAATTTCTCCGTCTGACTGAGATAATTAGAGATCCCAGCTTCTGCAAAAAAAAAAGCAGTGGGCGATGAAATATGAATGTTTCATTCGACCTGGAGTAAGATTATATTCTTACTTGACCACACCTCTGGCCCTCGAGCTCCACAGTCGTGCAAGTTATAGGTGGTTTTAAATGGCCAAATAGTAGATAGGAGGAAAATGTGTTGGCTAGGACTAAGTACACAAATAATCAGTCCAACAAATTCACTTCAAGCTCAGCTGAAATGAAAAACAAAAAGCCTGTAAGGCACTGTGGCTGTTCAGGACTTTGATTCCGTCTATAAAAAGGCGAGTTTCAGTTCAAGCCAGTACATTTCACTTAACTGCACATAGTTACAACCTACGATGGCCATACGTTGAAACAGGGAAGGCAGTGAGGCTTACCATTGTAGTACCTCTCAGCGGAGTCGTGCTTGGCGGTGCAGCAGGTTACCGACTCCTTGCCGCTGTGGACCAAGTTGGTGGTGGGCCACGAGTCGGCCAGCCAGGGGTAGTTGCCCATGTTGGTGCCAAGCATACCAGGTCTAAAGAAGACGAAAGACGCAGCAGTCAATATCAGTGCTATTTACCAGTCAGATACATGGCTCCAATGTGGCGCTAAATGCTTCCAATAAAACATATCTTCATCTCATGCTTTCTGCACTAAGCCGATCTCCAACTATGTCCAAGAGAAACAGCATGAAATGTAAAAGTAAAGGGTCATTTATTCTGTCTTGCCTGTATGTGTAATGTCACTCATCCTCCCGGTTCCTCAGAGTGAACTGTAATTTTATGTCATACCTGCCATTGATGAGACCAGATGCCTCTCCATGAGAAAATCCAACTGCAGGAAAATCAAAAATAAAACAGTAAATAAAAGCATTCTGAATTTTACCACGGGCATTTTTACCCAATAATTATCATTCAGCTGGAAAATCGGAAATGATAACAAGATAAGATTGAAAGATGCTTCCTTACCTGCAGGAGTATAAGCAAAGGAAGCTGTAAAAGAGAGACACTCTATGAGAACATCATCTTTAGAGAGGAGACACCACTTTAAAACACATAAAAGCCAAGCCCATGTGGTTCTTATTCCATAGCATCCAAACACAAATTAGAAAGACATCTAAATCAGTTTGAATAATACTCATCACGTCTAACTCAAACGAAATAAAGCCCGAGGTCAAAACTGAACAGGTCTGCTGCTCACTGCTGGTGGGAAGCACCAGCAGACCGGACCGCGATCTGACTGGGAAATAGGAGGTGTCAGTGCAGTGGGCAATCCGCGGCAGACCTGTGTAGTGGCTGAGCTCCTTTCTCTTCTTGCGGCGACAGTAAATCCACACGCTGAAGCCCATCAGGATGACCCAGCAGGCCCCCCCGATGCCCGCGATGAAGGCCGGCTGCTTCACCACGTCTGTGATCTGCTCTGCTAAGCTCACGTTCTCGCCAGGCTCCGCCGGCGCTGAGGGCTGGTCCGAGGGCAGCTCTGCGAAATGGACACAAACAGAAATCAGACAGGCGCTGGTCAGATCGGCTGCAGAGCTCGGAAGAACCAGCTTCCCAGTTCCAGTTGAACAGAACACTTTAAAAGAGGATACGTTTATGTTTATATTAGACGATGTGGTTTTTCAGTTAAGCAAGTCAAATCTGTTTTGGGGATTTTCAAATATGTAAGACAAGCAATCCTAGTTTTTCTCTCGCATTATTATTTTTTAATATTTCATTATTATTTTATAACCCACAATTTCTATTTACGACATATCTCATTGGAGCCCAATTGACATTTACATCTCCTGTTCATACAATATATAAGACACTGAATTACCTAACTCCAGATTATTTTAAAAGACTTGTTGCATACATGCAGCCTAGATCTTAATCTGAGATCTAGGGATTAGGGCCTTTCTACTCTGCCAAAGACTAGGCTTCACACTGTGGGTAACTAAACCTTCTCGTCTGCTACCCCACCTCTGTAGAAAATCAGTGCCTGAATCCATCAGAGCCTCTGCGAGTACTAACATCCTTAAATCCTACTTTCTGAGCTGTCCTTTCACTAAAGCTTTTAATTCAGAATTTATTTTTACTTCATCAATCTGCTGAGCTTTTCTCTCTCCCTTTCTTTTTACTTCCTTCAAGTTTAATTCGTGCACGCCACTGCGCAGTCCCACGGACAGCGCTCATGAATAAAACGGCGTGGCAACACCGCCAACTCCTTCAAGGGGAAACACCGCGAGCAAGTGGCGACGTGTGGTGAAACAGCGACTTTTACAGGAGGCTATTTTTACTCCTCTTAAATGGCCTCTTCAAACCTATTCACGCCCAGGCTGGAAAACTGTGTATGCGTGAGGCTCTGATTTGCATTGCACATTTTGGCATCCAAAAGGAAACCTGTCGGATGCTCCCAGATCCCACAGGAGGGAAGGGCACTCACTGATGAGCACGGACACGGGCTGGCTACGGGCTCCCACTCCTGCGCTGGTGACGGCTGCCACTTCCACCTGGTACAGTATCCCTGGCAGCAGGCCGGTGACCGTCGTGGAGAGGACAGTCCCACCCACCGTCTTGTTGATGTGGAACCGTGTCTCATTGCCCAGGCACCAGATCTGGGGAGACAAGAACAAAGGGACACTGAGGCAGGCGGTGGCTAACTAAATACAAACCAGTACAGCTGAACTGGCCCTTAGCCTCTGAGGGACTGAGGCACGCTCCCAAAGGTGACACTGCAGATGAGGCTATCTCTAAGGTGCGATTGTGACATGACAGTGAAATAGCAGAAACACAACATGTTGTCTTTTCATTTATGTGTAACTAAATGCAATAATGTCTTGTAAAATCTTCAACCATTTCTTACATTAAAGGTATTTAAAGAAGTAGGTAACGTCTCTACACTGTGCTGCAGGTTCTGCAGAGTGAACTGGAATGTGACTGCTGCTTTTGCAAAGGGAATTTCTGCACGCATTGGCCTTTTGAATTTTAGTGCTGGGCTGTCGCTCGTGCTATATAAACATACTGTGAAATGTGTGATAATAAATGTTTGCAATCTGTGATTTGAGATAATGACTGTTTTTAGGACAGTTAGGACAGTCATAATGAACTGCTGTAGGAGGCAATTAAAGGACTATGAACAAAAAAAAATTCTACAGGGAATTTTTACAGCAGTTTTGCACTTGCCCAGTATATATATATAATGAATTCTGATGGGACCTTCCTGTGTTCAATCATTTGTAATGAGAGTGAATAATCCTTGTCCTGCTTTCTCTGCTTCACTGAACTCTTGTTATTATAATCATGATTCATCATAGCAAACAATAACAGAGCTGGACATATAAAGTTACAATAAGAAGAAAAACTAATATTATGACCTGTGCAATTACATATACCACAGAATTACACATAATCTCTGTAAAGACATATGATTATATAAATTATATATGACCTTAGTTACAGCATAAGACATTTTACAAAAACTGACATGTCCAGTGGTTTCTAATAAGCATTTATTTTATATGTTAATACTGAATTATTATAATTGAAGATACAAATACTATTATAATTTATTTTGTAATATCAGGAATGGTCACAAGATGTTATTATCTTTAATTACATCCTATAACTGTTAACAAAATAATGTAAAACATGCTTATGAATCACATGTCACAGATCCCTGAACTGAAGACTTAATCCTCTACCAGTGCAACTTTTCAGTCCGATCCGGACTGAATTTAATCCGATCCGGTTTACCTTGTACTCCTGAATAACTCCATTCCGTTTCTCCACAGGGGGTGGCTCCCAGGACACACTGATGCTGGTGCTGTTGCTCAGCTTGACAGTTACCACGGTTACTGATTGTGGGGGAGCACTGGGGGCTGAACATGAAATGATGGCTTTAATAAGAAAGACTTTTATAATCCAAAGAGCAATGTTTTTAATTTAGTTTTAGGAATGAATTTTGGTCTTTCCACAATTAAACTGTACTTTCAATATCTGTCTCTGAAATTAAATAAAATGACAAGTTCAAAAAGTCATACATTTTTAATAATAATAATCCAAGTCAGTAATGCAGGAGATGAACATTACATACTGCTTAGAGACATTCTACTTTATAGTTAGAATTACATCAAACTTTTCAAGGCTACCACTTTACGATGCATAGGTTGAATGCTGAATTGAATGCTGAGTCAGTCACACCTGAATATGGCTTTTTTGTTGTTTTTTTTACTTTTCAGCATGGAAGTTAACCTCTACGTGTGCAAAAAACCGAACACATCCAACTCCACTTCTATCACGCACCCAACTGACTTCAACAACCGAACTACTGATCATAACTGAATTACTTCATAACGGAATCACTGACTTTGCCTCCCTCTTTTACAAAAGAGGAAGATGACACTCGTAGCAGAACCCTCCCGCACTCACAGACCCGTTACTCTGAAATAAAAGGCGTCGCAGCCAGCGTCGCGAGTACAATTCCCTACGTCAGGGTGGTCTACAAGAGTGAGCACAAGGCCTCTTCCTTACCCTCCTCAGGCGTGTGCACTATCAGCAGCTGGCTGTCGATGCCCTGGAACTCGTCGAAGTAGGGCCGGATCTTCACCTCGTACTCCGTGCCCTTCCGCAGGTCAGCGAGCACCGTGCTGCGCTCGGGGGCTGCCTTCACGTCCTGGACCAGCCAGGCGCTCCCCTTGGGCCTGTAGAGCAGCCGGTATCCCTGGATGTACCTGGACTGGCTGTCCACCTGAGAGACACCCAACAGCCCGAGTGACCGCCGAGCCGAGGAGAGGCTGGGAATCGGACGAACTGCTGCGGGTTAAACCCGCGCCTTTGATATCGGTTTGTATTCTGGGGGTGGCACGGTGGCACAGCGACTACCATTTCTGCCTCGCAGAGCAGAGGCCCCGGCTTCGGTGCCTGGCCTCCGATCTGTGTGCCTTTCAAGGGTTAATACTGTTAATTTCTTTCACTGTTAATACTTGTCTTCTTTCCTCTCAAGCTCTTCTTGACTGCAGAGGTTCACTTCCTAGCCTGCGTATGGCATTCCTAACGGGAATCATCCCGGTTCGTCTTCTGAGAACTCTTCAGGCACTAAGGGAGTCACCACAGCAACCCCGGCCTTCACAGAAACCCTGGCCACCCGGCAGACTTACCGTCCAGGAGAGCTGGACGCTGGACGCAGAGAGAACCACAGGCTCCAGGAGCCGCACCACCACCTCCCCCAGCTCCCGCTGCACCTGTCTGTGGTCCACACCCTGACCTGTTGGACTCACGTCTGACACAGAAGGAGAAAGAGTGCACCCAGTCAGTGTGCCTCGCCTCTTACCCATGGGGCCTTGAACACAACGCTTCAGATTCACGGTTGCAGAATGCTGGGTGACATGAAAACTGCACCGACCCCCACTTTTTAGTCACATCGCTTCAAGATGTGTCTACACATCTACCATCAAGAACACTAGGCAGTACTGGCCTGGCAAACTCCTCTTCTCCTCAGGTGATCACGCTTTGTTCTAAGAAGATGTCAATCAGAAAAAAAAGTGGGACACTTCTTCTAGATAGAATATGCTCAAATTGAATCTTTTCTCAAATTTGCAATTTAGATAGAGTTGTATGCACATGGCACAGAAGAACATTTTTACTTAAAAAAAAATATACACACATAAACCTCAAGGGTATGCAAAATCTCAGTTTAATGTAATTAAAATTGTGCAGAAGCACCAGTTCTAGTATGCCGTTTACTGAATAATTATGAGTAACAATTAATACTAATTTCTTTAATTTAGCACATTTCATTTTAACCCTCTCTTTCAATTCAGCTTTTTTCGGTTTATACCAGCACCTCCTCGGGTGAAGCAGGAGTCATCATGTACCTGCACCCCACTATACGCCAGATTAAGTAGAGGAGAAAGAAACTGTTTCACCAGCTGGATTACGGAGGCTCTTTAGGAAGGCCAGACAGTACTGCCCCAGAGTGGAATGACAGCGTGGCCAGACATTACTGTCCCAGGACACTCGGGTTCTCACCCCTAATCGTACGATGTTGTTTTTAACATCCACTGAACAGCAACTGCTACAGCACAGCATACTTGTCCACTATACTAGCATTTGGTTGTTTGGAAATTCTGGTCTGGTTAAAAGGAGGTCATTTAAAAAAGTAAATCACCCCCCAAAAAAACGTATTGGAAAATGCAGTCTGAACAATTTTTAAGGCGGCAGTCATTTCCTGCTGTTCCCAGCACTCTGGTGTGACAGAAGCTCCACTGTTATTCATTGGTTTGCATACACTGTACCTTGAGTGCGGACCGGCTCAGAGATGGGGCTGGGATCACTGAGGCCGTAGCTGTTGACAGCGCGTATGATGAACAGGTAGATGGTGTTGGGGAAGAGGCCACCTACGGTGTGCTTCTCCAGCTTGACAAAGTCTGCCACTGTTTGCCAAGTACTTCCTGCAGATTGGCTAGATTAGGAAGGCAGAGAGCAAGTATTAACGTACTAATTCCCCAGCGCACTGCTCTGATCTGGAATCACCCATCCATTTTCAATCACTAGCACAGATAACAGGTAACAGTAAGCTGAAGGTGAAATAAGGCAGGGCACAAGCTGGATGGGTTGCTAGTTCAATGTAGGACACACAAACACACCAGGGACAATTTAGAGAAGACAATTCATGTGGACCCAGCAAATATCCACATAGACATTGAAATTTGAAATGAAAATTAGCTTACTGTCAGTGAGTTTAAAAGAAGACCAGCTGCAAATGTCGTACCCTATATTTTAATTTACAAAATGTATGTATTTTATTTTATCAAGTTATTATAAATGATCATTTACTAAGGCCAAAACACATATTTCTGGCTTAGAGATGGCCTGACCTCTCTCTGTCGTTCTCTGTCTGGTACTGTATATGTAGAATTTTTTTTCCTTTCTGCAGTTACAGCTCACAACAGGGCAAGTGATTTTATAGCCGACTGGCCTGTAGAATGCAGCTACAACAATTAACGCTGCCAGAGCAGCGCATATCCCTCACGCTAACCTGATCGCGAGCAATAAATCCAAGGTCACTTTCTCGATCGACTCTGTGAAAAACACTAACACAGACACACGCTCATACAAAAAAAAAACACACACACATTACAAATACGGCTTAGCCTCCCCCCCGCCCACAGGCACGATAAATCTGATCATTTCCATAACAAGGTGTCACAGTCGGCCATGAACCTGTGAATGACTACCTCCCTCTACCCATCTCCCTCTTCTGCTCTCACCTTACCCCCCCCCCGTGCCCCCAGCACTGCAGGCAAGGAAATGTTATTGTAGAAATCATATTAAGCCCCCCCCCCGGTCTCTATAAAGAATCAATTTTGGGGATGCAGCACTGTGCTAACTTCTGCCCAGAGGGCGAATGAGAATGAGATCAAGTCTCAGATCTGTCAGGCTGCCCTTCCCAGACACACAGGGACACAGCCTGCAAGTGGTGTTGGGAGCTGCCTCAGTTCTGCACTGGGACCACAGCTGGGCACAGGGAGCAAGCAATACAAAGACCCTGGTCTGGATAAAAAGTCCAAAATGTCATTAGTTCTTTTTGCATTTTTGTTTCTGTGCCTGCCGCAACAACGAGAAAAATCTGGTACGGGTGGCAATTTAATTTATTCGAGTTTCCTTTCAGCAACTTCCTCATCCCCGTGCACATAAAGGCAGTGAAGAGCATTTACATAATGCTACTCGATGTGATAAGCACAGGTACAGGCTGCCCTCCATTATTCGAATGTGGAAAAGGTCAGGGACAGAGAGGCAATATGGGTGTGTGCCCCTGTCCGTCACGTCTGGATACTAGCGCTTAACTGTGACACGCAATTAATAAAGAATGAAAAATGTCTGGGCACGAGATGCCTCTAGCTACCAAGGGGCAGAGTGTCTGCAGACACCATTCAGCTGTATTGTTGAATCTATATTGTCTGGACTGGTTGTTTTTTTTCTTTGCCAGCTGCATTAGTAGGAGTGTGTGTGTGTGTGTCTGTGTATATCCGTGGCTTTTACGTCGGCGAGTCTCAGGGCTAACAGGAGCTCATGTTACAGGCACAGCCACAGAGCCGAACTGTTCAAATCACGGAGAAAAAAGTCTCCCATTCCACATCAGATTTTGGAATAGCTCTCGCGTGCTGGAACACTCAGACGGCCCCCTGTGCTCCTGGCATTCTCCTTTGGAACCGCAGGCATCGGGCTCCGACCTTACTGTGTTTTCCACATCTCGGAAGTAAGGCAAGCATCCCGCCCAGGGGTGTGGGTACGGCCCGCGGGGAGCGCGCAGTGGTCTCACCTGAAGGCCTCGATGATGTAGGAAGAGACCGGCGCCCCTCCTTCATGGGGGTTCGGCTGCCAGGTCAGGGTCACGCTGTTTCGTGTCACGTTGGTCACGATGGGCTTCTGGGGGGGTCCAGGCAGGAGACTGGGCTCAGAGGGCTGGGGAGCAGATGGGGCTCCACTTTCTATAATACAGAAGTGACAGGAAGGCAAAGAGATTTAATGTCAGAGTCAAATCCTAATAAAACATTGACACACTTAATAACAGCGGTACAGCACTATATTATAAGTGGAATGCTAAAATGTTATCAATAATGTACACTGTTTTTCTTATTTTTAGAGCAGTACCATATGTTGTTACATACATTGTTTGGATAGAGATAAAAATTCTTTTTAATTCCTCAATTCACTCAATACAAGTTCCCCATGGAGCTTTTATGCACGGCTTCTTTCAGGAAAGGAAAAGTGTATGTTCTGTAGCATTACTTTAAACTTTAAAACAAAAAACATTTTTACAACCCTTATCTCATGTAACAGCAAACAAAAAAGGGAATTCAATTAAAATCATAAAAAATCATAACAGGACAAAAGGCAACATGGTCAAGCATGGGAAACTTAATTTCTCTTCAGTCCTTTAGTATTTTCAAAGAGCAAAGGTACTGTACCTTGCACTGTGAGAATACCACTCCAGCTTGTCTCCCCACTGGCGCTAGAAGCAATACAGGTGTACACCCCTGAATCGGTTTCCTAGCAACGAGAAGCAAAAGTGAAGCACTTAACATGGCAATCTTCTGCAGGCTGATGTAGCTCCCCCACCACCTTCTATCCTGACTTGTCAGATATTCCAACCAGACCTCATTAGATCACACAGGCTTAGCAAGCGCGTGATCTCACTGGATCACATCCTAGCAAGCTTGTCATCTCACTAGATAACATCTTAGCAGGCATGTGATCTCACTGGATCGCATCTTAGCAAGCATGTGATCTCACTTATTTCCTTCTGAAATTACCAGAATTTGCTAAGCAGTCCCTCAGAATGGTGACCACTGACGCTGTGCTGCAGGAGACACCATATTTCAGATGAGACGCTCAGTCAAAGTGCTCTAATTGAATAGGATCCCATGGAACTGAAGGGGTTCCATCCTGCCATAATAACACCCAGTGATATAAATCTGAACTTCACCTCTTAATTACCTCTTGATTCACTTTTCAATCCTGCACCTGTTTCTGTGCAGGATGAAAACTGCTACATAAATACAGTTCATGCATTCGTTATTTACAGCCTACTTGAAACGTTGTGCAGCTACATGAAGAAAGGTCACAGAGAGATATTTTTGGAACAGAAAAGGTTAGAACCTTGACAAACGACGGGTCAGGGGTACTTGTGAAATAATCAGAATTTTATAGGGAAGTTTTCTTTCAGGGTCACAGTCAGGGGTAAAAGTCATATCCCCCCCAAAAAATGTCTGCTTTCCATCTAAAGGAAATGAAGTCAATCAATGTTGAAAGTAGGCCTACTGCTATATACTAAGCTTATTTTATGATCTTCCTTCCTCTTACAGTTATAATGCCTGCTACAATTTACTAAGCATTGGAGATTAAAATTGTTTTTGTGTTAACACTTACAGTATAACGCACAATGGAAAACTCACAATGTCAAGAAAGAGCTCAACAGATCAGCAATCATCTACACATTGTCCCCACAGTGAATCTGACTGGAGGGTTTCTTCTAAAAAGATTTCCTGTGTTTGTTAATGTTTCATGCACACTGCTCTTAGTCTCCTTTCATATCCATGTGGTGACTCAGGAGATGATGAAAGCGCGCTATCAGCTCTGGCTGAGCTTAAGCACTGCTTCTGTCATGATGATTAAAGCTATTATATTGGTCTTCACAGACATGTAAAGTGTAAGAAATGTAAGACATTGCAAAGCGAACCAACTCCTTGACTCGGGCATTCATGTGCTCCATGCTAAGGAAAGAAAAGGCAAAAGGCAAGGTTAAAGTTTTATTACGGTGAGTCAGGTCAGAAACAGGTCTTGGAATTATTTCAAACAGTGGAAGATGTTAGGTGTTTTGGCAATCGGGATCTAATGGTTCTTGCAGATTAGCTGGTAAAAGCTGCAGATTCCCAATAAGAGAATTATTTGATGATTTACTAACATCTAACTCAACTATTGTGGTGTAACACTACAGTTGTATTGTTCTCCTTTTAGCTATTGTTAATTTGAGCCCACACAAAAGACAAATGGACACTGTATTTCTCTGTCAAATGTATGACTCCTTTTCCTCTATGTAAATACTCTGAGGTCGAAGGAAACGGGTCTATTTTATTATATTATAAGTTAGAATTCCATATTTGGGTTTTTTAAGGGCATGTTTCTTGCAAACAAGCTTATAAAGACAACACTAGTGATGAGTTTCCGTCAGTTTGAAAGATGCGGGTGTTTTTTTTCCCTTTACATCGGCATTGAAGCAAATTGGGCCAACAGCTGTTAAAAATGGAAAACCTGCAACGTACAGCTGTTAGCACGTGAAGTAATGGATGGTATTACATGCGTCAGTTGCATTGATAATAAGATGGTTTTGTTCAAACAGCTGCGCTGAATTAAAACAAACGGGGAAACGCAAGGTAGTATTTCTTCCTGCTACCATTCAGAAAAGGGTAACCCCATTGGTGGGCTTGCCTGTTTTCCAGCAGGTCACTTGGCTGACACTGTTGAGTAGTGGGTTGGCTGTATGGGGCCACTCGGCGGGGTAACGTAGAGGGCACATATCTGTTGATTGTGCATGGCTGTGCTGGGCTGTACACTTAAACAGTCTGTTAAAATTTGATGAGGTTGGGCCGGCAGGGAGCAAAATATTTTCATCCCTGTGCTTAGTTTCTCTCTGTTTTTTTCCTTATGCATACACTGACACTGACATACAAAGTTAATGCATCTCTCTTGTCCCATAGAGGCTCACAGCATCACTTTTTACAGCAGGCAGCCAGCTCAAGGAAGAGAAAAAAACACTATCAGTCAGGACTACCCCTCCTCCTCACCCCCCCCAACTCCGCCACGAACCAACAAGCAGTTAATGGTCTCGGGAGACGGGGGTTGTCAGGTCATTGTGAATATGAGAATGGGGGGAGGGAATGAGTTTCTGAGAAGATGAAGCTGAAGAAGTCAGTCACTTTAAGTGTGTGTGTGTGTGGGTGGCACACAACAAGACTAAAAGCCTGCAGAAGCTGTGAACTGTCAAATATAATCCATCCAATTTCTAAACTGCTTTATCCAGTAAGAAATACTGGTTTCGGAGGACGCTGGAGCCTATTGCAATGACAGGATACACCCTTGACAGGACGCCAGCCCAGCGCAGAGCACAACTACACACTCTCACATCAGGGCTATTTTTTCCAGAAGCCATAAACCTACCAGTATATCTTTGGACAAGGAGATAACTCGAGTATTTGGAGGAAACCCACATGAACATGGGGAGAACATACAAACTCCACGCAGACAGCACCCCAGGAATCAAGCCCAGGCCCCGGCGGTGTGAGGCAGCAGTGCTCAACACCACTCCACCATGCCAGCCAATAGGCAAATACCTTTATATGGAAATGAGTATTTCAGAACATGGTCCTCAAGGTTAAACACTCCAAGCCTTTTTCCACACCTTGGTCCTACAATTAGCAAAATACTCATCATGAGTATGAAACGGATGAGAACTAATATAGCACTATATACTATAGCACTGATGAATATTGTGCATTTAGAATCTGTGCCAGCTCCCATTTCTTCTCAAATTAATTAAATCCTCCACAGTCATCTGTCATCCAGGACCACAATCACTTAACATTTTCACATCACTCTGGAGAGAAATCGGGGGACTTATCTCAGGTGAATCTCTTGCATTTAAATACAATACTTCTGAATATGTGCTGATAGTTACAGGCTGACAATTGAAAGCAGGCCTGCTTTTTTCTGCATTGGTTTACTTACAAACATGTTTGCTTGTACAAAAAACCAAGTGCTGGAGGGGAAGGGGTATATGACTACTTGTGTGATTTTTTAGACGTTTTAAGTGAATTTGTCTACTTTACATTTCTAGCATTCTAGCATAAATTTCTTATTCTTAAGATGATTCTGAATATCTATTTCTTCCCTCTGGCAAACGCTTTAGGGTTGCCAAACGTGGATCAAAATAAATGCAAATATTCATTTGTTCCCTTATCTGTTAAAGCAGTTAACACAAACAAATGGCAAGGGTGCAACTGCAATTGGGTCAGTGTAAACTGATTATGTTGTCACAAATTATGTATATGTAATTATGCATGTGCAATAAATGTGATGTTTAATGTTTCCTGATGTGTTCAGATATACAGAAGCAATGTGTGCCCATAAAATGTTTCTCCTAGGGCACAATAAAGCTGATCTTCTCTTAAGTCTTCAATAGCATTCTCACACAAGTCTTTATTAAATACCTGCAGGAGGGTGATCTGTAATGTGCCGTTTTCCATGAGGCTGATGCGGGCATCATTTCCCAGAATCCTCTGTCCATCCTTTTCCCACTGGATGCTGGGTAAGGGGTTGCCCATGACATGGCACTGCAGCTGTGCCGTGGCACCCAGGGCCAGAGTCTGATTGGCTGGCCCCTGGCGGATAATCGGAGGGACACGGTCTGATGGTGCTGGAGGGGTGGACAAGAAAATGACAAGACTGAATGAGGAAGGCATGTCCAGCTCAAAACTACTCAGACTGTCGTAGCAGATGAAAGACAGAATCACATCTCAGATCTTCTGTAAGAAATTGTAAGGAAGACTTTGAACTTTTCAATGAGCCAGACATTGCTGTGACAAACTAGGAGCCGGCCTTTGTTGTAAGAATATATGTCATCAAACTCTTCCTTTTTCCTTTCATTTGGCAACAGAAAGGATGGGATTTAAAATACCTGCAAGTCTCAGCAAATGCACTAATTTCATGCCTGCTTCTCGGCCTGTTGTTTTCTCTTTCAATCGATCGCACAAGGCTGTGTTAGACTTACAGCTGTCTGTTGGAGCCCAGCAATTGAGGAAATACTGGCTGGCGATCAGCCGTAAGTAAAAAGCCAATTAAAGGAGGGTATTAATTGATTACTCTAAGATGTATTGGTGCTTCTGAAAGAGCTTAACAACTGCCAGAGATCCTCCTTTTAATTAGCCCTTTAACCTGCCGCAGTATTTTTCTAATGACTGCAGTTTTAATGAGCTATTAGGTTTGAATGACCTGCTCATTTATACATTACAGGCTTTACAAATGACCAGTGCTGGGTAATATAATAATGCTTGCGTTTCAGAAGGCATTGAGCTGTAAGACAGCAGTAAAACAGTTGCGCAGCAATGCAAGGAAAAAAAACCCTTTGCAACTCCCAGTCTGAATGAATAATTCACGTTTCAACCACTAAAAATGAAAATTACTTAAGTGAAAGACTTCATCAAATAAAGGAGAAAACTAGTCAATTATTTAACATGTTCATACTACATATGCCTTGAAATTAAAATTGCAATATATTTTGATAAAAAAACTAGACTAGACCTTTGATCATGATGAGCATTTGTAATGCTTTCTTGAAAGTTAATCTTCCACCCCTGGAAATTCCAAATCTGAAAATATTTAACAGCCTTTTTGTACGGGAGAACTGAAGGCATCCTTGAGCAGAACATATAAAAAATTCCACTGAATTTTAAAAATCCAGATACGGTCAAGATAAAAGTTACGTCAGTTTTCAAGAAGAGTACAGAAGGAAGTCCAAGCAAATTCACAAGCAATCTCTGGGTTTGAGCTGGCCTAGACCTAGATATGCAAGTTTGTATCTTCTATATGAAAAACACTGAGTGATAATGATACAGAGATACTGAATGCAAACTGGTCCCTATTAAAGTATGAGGCAAAAACAGGCAGTCATTACCATAAGCTTTCCATAGCCTCCATATCAGCCACGTGTTAATGTGTGCACGCCAATCGTATGAGGGTAAAACGTCTTGGTCTAAAAACCTATTAAGCTGGTTGTGTTTCTGGATTTTAAGTAAACCAGTGAACCAATGTTGTTGACCTGATTTGTGACAGCAGTTAGCCCTACACACAGCAGCACAGCACAGATGCTTAAAACGTATGGCATTACCCTAGAAGGCAAGTTGGTAAATGTGTTATATTTCTACCTTACAAGGGGGAAATATAACACATTTCATTCCATTCCCCGAATTAGAAGTAGGTTTATTTTTTATTTAATATACCCCTAGCTTAACCACTGGAGTACGTTACACATCAGAGTGAGAAAGGGAGAGAGTGTCTGGTGCAGGTCTGCCTCAGAACCAGTTTCAGGTCTCATACCTGTTTTGTGTGTGTGTGTGTGTGTGTGTGTGTGTGTTTACAGTGTTAGAGGATATTGGATGGGAGCCAGAGGCTGTCAGGGAACATGGAAAAGTGAGTTTAGGGAGGGACGGTCTGTGTGAAGCAGGAGCACTGACAGGGTCAAAATATCTGGAAATCAAGGCCTAATGAGTCTTGACCGCACTTGGACACTGGATCATCCATTCCTCATTGGAAAAAGGACACAACTGACAGGCCATTTATAAAACTCAGTGGTGAGCCCTTTTCCATAGTCCACCATGTCCTTCACACTGCCGGGGCTAAGCCTATATATAACATGCTTTTACACTCTCTTCCATTGGGAGCACAGCTTTAGGGGCTAGTTGACTGCTTAACCCCCCAGCTGTACCGAGACCCCCTCACACCCCAGTTGGCGAATCCAAGTTTCTTATTACTTTGGCAACCATCTGAGGAGCTTTCTCGTCGATTTAAGAAGCAAAGCAGGACTCATTAATGAGATTACATGCTTGCAAGTACTGTTTCTAAAATCCTGCTAGGAAAAAACAAAACAAAAAGAAAACAGCAAATCTTCTTTCACATTTGCACGACAGGCTCCAAATATTTGAATGCTAGGAGGCACAGCACATATGTACCCACAGTTTATCCAGTTAACCAAGTGCATGAAAGAACTGAGCATATGCCGTGGTAGTTCATTGCAGAGCATGTCTGTTCTTACACATTACATATCCAGGGCCTCCTGCTGTCGATTCATTTGGGTGTCAGGAGTTTTATCTATCTGAGAGGCCTGGCTTTTCATTTCTTTTGTTTTCGCAAATTACACTTAACTATCGAAATGTTGAGCGAGCGTCTGTTCTTAGAGATATAAAAAAGATCTTACAAGTCTATCCACCACAATTTTAAAGAGATTTAAAAAAAAAAGATCTCCCCAGGAATGCTTTTATAATTACTTCTGTATTTATAAACACGAGGGAAAAACGGCAAGCCTTTGAAAAAAAACCTTTTGAATTTGCTATTAGAATTGGAGCTGCTTTTGGATTGCTCTTAATGAAATATTATAAAAAAGCCATCTAGGGAAATCTGCAGATATTGAAGGGAAACGGCACAAAAAAGCAGAGATACGAAATATCATCAATTTGGTATGCCAGATTTACATTAACGAGATATACTTTCATGAGCTATATCGGTAAAGTGATGCATTTAAAAACACCATGTGCTACATGAATCTCTCTACTGAATCCCTGCCAAACTAAAATTAACACCTCCAGCCTCCCACAGTACAAATACTATTCCTTTGCATTATTGTACATTGCCAGCTGTAGCAGGCAAATACTGTATATGTGCAAAGCCAAGTTACCAGCTTTTGCAATGTTGGAGCCTGCTTCTTTTCATGCTTGGGAGCGTGGTGCACAGGTGTCATGTTTGCTCACTTCAACATCTGAGAATTTCGTGTACCAAAATGAGGCTGTGGAATCACTTCCTGGGTCATTTGCGGTCTGAATACAGGTCAAACCCACTTACTCGGCGACCAACGCTCACCGTTCTCCACTTCCAGCAGTGCCTTGGTCAGGATGCTCCCGGCCACACTGATGGCCTGGCAGATGTAATAGCCAGAATCTTCACTCTGGACGTCACTGATGGTCAGCTCCCCACTCAGGGACACGGAAAAACGGCCCGACTGCTCTGGAGGCTGACTGGGGAACAGAAGAATCTGGACACACAGGAATAGAAGGAGTCAGTGTGGAACACCTTCAGAATTTTTTTTTAAAAAGCTACAAAACTAAACAGACTTTTGTCACAATTGAGGATCTGCATGTGTTTTGTAACACCATCCCACAATCCCACAGCAAAAAGCAGTTAACTACTGGCTTGGAAAACGGGAGCGGTTCTGCCTCACTGCAGAAAGAAAACCAGACATAAAGCAGACTTCGACCAAAAATAAATATGTTCAAGCCAAAAATGCAAGTGGTGACTAAAGTTTTAAACTAAGCACAGAAGTATAAGCCACTGCATTTATTCAGTTAGATTTATTGGCATTTTTATGCATTGAACGTGAGAAGCGCTGGTTTCACATTGAAGTTAAACTTAAAAAAAAAATAAAAATGAGAGCAAACTGTAAGTGAACTGCTGCTGGGCTTCTGAGAACACATAATTTCTGAATTGTTAGTTTGAAATCTGTAAACGCTCTGACAAACAAATCTCAAACAAAATGAAATATTTTAAGATACGGTTTGCAACACAAAGTCTCTTTATTCATTCTCAACTGGAATGAACCAATACTGAATTAAATCCTTGGGGCTGTTCAGGCCTGTGGAAACAATGAGCGATACCCTGAGAAGCATTTTATCGTCTGAAGTGTCAAGCAAGGGTGTGGTGAAGGGCACGGACCAGAATGAGGGGTTGTGGGAACAGTGGTAACTTGGGTGAGGTTAAGGGGACTGGAGGCTCACTCCGTCCTTTCTTTTAGAGGCTTAAACTACATCTCTGGGGTAGACGGGGTCAAAGGTGAGAGGCTAATCCTAAAAATAAAACAAAGGTGACAAAGGGCAAAGAAAACATCAGAAAACAAAGCAGAAGTAGATGGGTTTGGAATTTTTAATGCTCAGATCCAGCCCTGACAGATAACACAGTCGTCACAGATGACCACCATCATGTCAAACCTTTAGGGTGAGATTCTTTTCACGCGTCAATGTCTTTCTAACTGAATTGTGTCCTGTTATTTTTTTTTTCTGTCCAAAACTAGAAGCTTTCAGGTTTGTGAGTGGTGAAAGATTATCATGATTTCCTCTGAAACCTCTTGCGTCCAGTGGGGGTTCTAGCGTGGAAACGCAGAGGAGGGTCGGCCCTCCCCCGCTCCAGCTCAAAGGCAGCCCGGAACGCCTCTCTTCTTGCTGCAGTCCTGCTCATCCCCACCTCCCACACCCACGCCGGGGCTCTCCTCTCTGATGCACTTGCTCTCTCTGATGCATTTCTGAGGCTACTCATTCTCCTCCTACACTGCCGCACCAGGCAATTTAGCAGAAAGATTTGTCTCTGAAAGCAGGGAACACTCAGCTTCTCCATCCCCAGTCTCTGCTTTTAAAATCTGGCTCTGCCGCAGCTCAACTGCACGACAGAACAGAACCCCTTCTGCAGATGCATTGGCTTGACACCGTTTCGAAAGCAACCCCACTCTTCACAGCACAAGCAATGAAGGAAGCAGAAGGAGGTCATGCACACCACTGCCAACTTGTTCCAAGCAGCCCCTTGATTAAGGGAAGGATTCTGAAGGTTTAATGCCTGCACTAAAGTTTAGATTATCATCCCTACGCCTACCATCATCTGACTGGAAAACTGACGCTCTACTTAGGTGGGTGCAAGTGTTAGGGTTAGGGTTCTCAGGCTGTCCGCTTTCACTTAGGAATACTCACAATTCAAAACTGTGGGAATGACATTTTCCATGCATGAAAGCCTAACTACAGTAGGTACATATGTATTCAACTTGATAATACCTAAAGGTATTCCTTCTTTGATTTGAGTTTTGTATGAATAAATGCACCAAGTGTAATTCCCTTTGCTCCACAACCTTCTCGACTCTGCAGTAGGTTAACTAAAGTCTAAATACACTCTAAAAGTACTGACTCTCCTGAAGTCATTTTCCTAACGCCTCACTCTGTTTTGGCTCACTCTGGAACCAGGGATCCTCAGCCACCAAACGTGAAACAGGCTGCCATACCTGACTCCCTTCTTTCTGCCAGAAGACAGCAGGCGGGGGGTTCCCCTTCGTCCCGCAGAGGAAGGTGACAGTCCGTCCTTGAGCTACGATTTGGTCCCGGGGCCGAACAACAATCTGGGGAGGGACTGAGAAACACAGGATCTTATTAATGACCTTTCTTAAGACAAGAAAGAGCTCTTGTGTGCAAGCTGCCAGTCTGCCCCTGCAGAGGGCCCTCTGATTGTGTAAACTCTGGATGTTCATCTAAAGAGAAAGTGATAAACACGTCAGAGCTGACACTGTGCAAAGCTGCTCAAGGTGTGTGATTCTGAGTTTCTTATGCAGTAGAAATTCTATACATTTCTAATGTCTGCGGTGACCAACAGTTACTGTACGCTGCTGCAACTGCGATGTTACTGGTATGTTGCTGTATGATAAGGCTCGCTGTTACTATTTTCTAAGTAGGTTACTTAAGCCACACGAGAAGCTTTTACTTTTTCATAATGGCTGCACAAACTAAGCGCCCACATGTTTTTCTTATGTAGAGATTTAACCTTGTAGCCCTGTACCTATCAAGTTAGGCAGCGTAGTTCTCAGAGCCTGGCCCTCAAATTTGCACATGTCAGGCTCAGGAGGGGACAAAGGACATTGAAGAGCCCTTGTTAGTCAGGGCACTGCGGTGTCTGTGAACCCTGCTCTTTCTGAGAAGACGATCAATGGTGCGGTTTTACAGATGTTTATCTTCTGGACTTATCTCTCCCTTAGGCCTCCTTATGAAAGAATACAAAGGCCTTTCACAGTCTCAGTCATGCCCACCAGGCAAAGTTGCCCTGCTTGCCCCTTGGCACAGATGAGGGGTTAGGGGTGATATGAGGGGTTGATCTTGTTAAGTCTCCGCAGAGGGACATGTAAGCATGATGCCCCCCTCAACCCCAATCTATATCAAACTGTGCTTCTCTTTTCTGCATCGCCTGATTGCTATTGATCAGCTTATGAGCAATTGCCCCTTTCATGAGGATCTGAATGTGTAATGCTGACACCTTTACCCTTAAGCTGCAAATTGATTTCTCATCTCCCATCTTCACTTCCTTGTTGTACCTTTTTCTTCTCTCACTTTGGCTTGTAATTGAAAATACATCACAAGACACTCCACCTGCCTCTTCGGGGACAGAGACAGACAAGCTTTTACACTGGACTAACATCTGTCTTCGTATTGACTTCCCATTTAATTAAAGCGCATCAGTCCTCCTTTTGAGCAACAGAAACAAATGCATAAATTTCCAGATTCCCTATTAAAGTCTAGAATTTCCAAATCTAGACTCATATAAAATTGCCCTGTGCTTTAAACCTGCAAGACCTCACTCAATTTAGAGAGCCCTAATATGACTTGTACAGGACATGTGCAATACAGTTGATTTGCTGCCTAGATCAATGACGTGAGTCACAGCATAAGTCCAAATATAATGATAATTTCTTACATGTTTAGCATGTTCAGCCCCCAAATTATTTAAAAGCACTTCACATACTGGAGGGGATCAATTTCTTTCACACAGAAGTGCCCCACTACACAGCAGATCCGTGAGGTGAATTGAATTGATGGAGAATCTTGCCAGGACACTGTGGTGAAAACCTCTGCTCTTGCAAACAGGTCTAAGGTTCTGTTAATGAGTAAGCAGTCAGGACCCCGGTTTAACGTGTGTTCCAAAGAAAGGAACCGTCCAGCAGAAAAATGTCCCCGGTCACCCTACTGGGGCATCGGTTGGGGAAAGCCAGTCCAGTGGGGAGAGCACTACCTGTTGGCCCACCAGAGCCACTTGCAGCAGCCATTTTAATGTTCTTTGACAGTGTTGCATCCCAGCACTGACTTGGTCCTGCTTTTCTTTTCTGATACACTATTGTTTGGATCAGATTACAAGATGGTAACAACACCGCCGTGCAATTTTACATTAATGTAAAAAAGGGCCATTTTCTTTTTCTGATTATATGTACACTCTATATATTCGATTTAGGTGGTAGCACTGCATTTCTGTTCACATGAAATACTAAATAAATTGGGAGTTTCATTTTTAAGGGATCTTTGCCATTCTCTGTCCCAGTCTGACCAGTTTTCAAAACTCATCTGCAATATGCCTCCATGAGTCTCGGAACATATTAGATCAGCAACCTCCTCAGCTGGTATGGAGCACTCCGTGCTTCAGCGTATATGTCATGTGTGCCGTATTAAATAAATCATATTGAAAATGTGCAATCGCAAAGGTGATGCGCAGAGGTCAAGCTGGCTGCCTCCACCTCACCTCCTGGGTCACTGCTGAAGCGGCGCTGCTCTCGCCATAATTTGACCTCTCAGACCCCCTGACCTATCAGGCAGTGGGGCTCATAAAACAGCACTAACCCACTTCTCCTTTTTCTCGATTTCTGTCTCAAGGGCGCCCAAAAAATTGATTCTTTCTCATTCTCTGCACAAACTGATGCAGTCGCCTGGAACTATCACAGTAACTCCAAGTAATAACCTGTATATCTGTATCACTGCTGAAAGATATAAATAACACAGCACAAAAAATACGTCAACAGTTTTTATGGCTATCACCAATGCGGTAATAGTACACACTAAAAAGAATCAAAATCTGGGTAAGAACCTGAATTAAAACTGTGCTTTGCTCAGGAATCCTGGTCCTGCCTTGTAAATGTGTGTAACAATTCCAAGGAATGATGTATTTAGGATATAACCAGCTCCATCTGTAAAACTTACCACTTCCAAGTAAAGACTTTTAGATTCTCTGGGCATTTAAAGACATTTTGTGGAAGTAAATGTGAAACACATCCTCTTCAAGCGTCACTCAGGAGCCACACATACTGTACATTTACTTTTCCAGCTAGAAAAAATTTCTTACCACTAGTAGTAACATCACGCAGGACTGAAAAGCATCTTCAAATGCGCTCAGCTGAGTAATTGGGTGAAAAAATGATTTTGCACTACCTCTAAAATGCTGTCAAAACCTATTGCAAGAAACTAATTTATTTTTTTTCCGCAAGCAATAATAGCATTTCAAGCACCTGGACAACTTTTATCGCCAAATTTATGGTGAAAGGGTAAATAAAAAAATGCATAATAAATACCAGTTAAACCACAACCCAAGTGTCTGACTCCATAAATGTAAAAAAATAGCAAACAGAATGTTTTTCAACCCATTACCACATTTCACTTCAGGTCTCTGAATGGAAATATACATAAGAGGTCCCTGCACTGTAAGTATATACATTACTCCCCCAAACTGCTGGATCAGGATTAATTCACTGCAAAGCCATTCCATTTTAGAAGTACTACTTACAAAACCTGGAATCTGGCAGCTCATTTTAATGGACCAGCATTGCCTGACAAGGCTGAAGAATTGGCTAGGAGGGGAAAATTAAAGACCAGAGCTGCAAGCACGGCTAAGCCAAGCACAGTTCTAAAATAAGATGACAGGATAAGTCTGCAACAGTGGTTTTAAAATAGTATCCCTGTTTCTTCGGTGACCATGCTTCAACGTGCCAAGGGAATACGAGTTCATCCGCAATTATTTGGACACTTTCTTTTTTCGTAGTAACGCATAAGACGTTCTCAGCTCAAGAACAGGAATTACCATATACATCTGACGGAGGATAATCTGGCAATTTCATTCGCAACGCCCACCTTTGCTCTACCTCGCGCCACTAAATGTTCTGTCCAGCAGAAAAATAAGGAAATATCAGCCCAGTGCAATTAAAAATTAATCCTCTTTGGCCGAGTACCTTCCCTCTGGTTTCCACGCAGACAAGGGTGGAGAGGGGCACGCTGGGATGGCGACGGTCACGACACACGGTGGATCAGTCTGTGTATGGGAATGCAGCCGGCTGGGACACAGAGCTTAGAGCAGTGGGCACAGGGTGGCACAGCCTGTCTGCTTCAGTGCTGTACACAACCACCCCCCACCCCTCACAGCCAACGCCCACGCCACTTATGTTAAGACACAGATTGAATGATCCGCGCACAATTTGTCTTAGCTCTCCTACGCGAGGGACTGCAGCTGCCCTAAATCTCTCACAGCAGGTCTTCAACCAAACAGACAAGGCTCTTTCAAACGAACGCCTTAGTCAGAAACTCTTTCCCCTCAGTTTTACCGTCTCCCTTTGAAAGCTGTAATGCTTGACCAGGTAAAAGTCAGCCACCAAAGTAAATGTGGGATTTAGTGTCATTTTGTGTGTGTTTTTTTGTAATTTTCTTTTGTCTTCTTTTTTTAAAATGTTTTTTCATTCAATACTCCTAAATCTTAAAAACCTGTTTAGATTTCTAACAATTTTAATGAAAATTACACTTGAGATTGACTGAACAATAAGAATTAAACTGAATTTCACTGAAAACGACAGCACGGGTAATGCCACCTTCTGCACATCTTCCTCAAAACATTTTATCTGAGAGACAAAAAAAATATGTTCTCAATATATTCCCTTTCCCAAATTCAAGCATTATCTGATCATCAAAACCAAATACTCTGTAAAGAAATAAGCAATTAAACATAAACTGAAAAATAGTACATGGGATCTATAGTGTCAATCTCTTCTACCAGAACAATCCATTTTAAATGGATTTAAAAATGCCAGATGTTTATATCCTGTGTAAAGTCACTGCGGCACCGACTTATTTCCTCAGCCTATCAATCAATTTAGATATGTTCATAAAATCAACATTTAGGAAATAATGAAGATGGATTATAACGTGACTTGAGAGGAGCAGGAAAATATGGGCTCTATGTTACAAATCTGCAGTCTACCAAAACTCCCCCCCACCACCACCACCCTTACACCCACACACAAATATCACCATGTACAAAATACACTGTATTCCCCAAACTGCATTTTTTTCTCATTTTCTGAAGTTTTTCATTTTGCAGGACTTCATGAAAACCAGCTCTGCTCATATTCTCCCAGGACCATGCCAAATTGCTACTCTCTCAGTCTCAATTAGATGTTACACTTCCAAACAACTCTAAATATAACTTCCTTTCTTCAACAAGCCGGGCTGAAAATCAGGGAAATCGATTTAGGTTTGAGGAGAAACTCATATGTTCAGGATTTGTTTTCTTTTCTCCCCCTGTGTTTCTGTAAGAGAAACATCTTTTTTTTCAATTCAATTTCTTTGCGGTAAAGACTATATGTCTTCAAATTTCCTTTTTTTAAGAGCGCATATATAGAGAAAAAGATTAAATGTAACTGTTGGTAAAATCAACTGACAGGTTAAAACAACTGAGAAAAGATATCAAGTTTTATATTTTGGGGTTTTCTTAAATTGCAGTACCAAGTAGTTTGCAAAAAGTTTGCAAGTCTAGTAATACTTTGCAAATCTAGCACCCAGAGGTACTAGAATGAATAAGAAAGGATGAAGAACTACTGAAAATTGACCACCTGCATTGACTTCAACCCTTAAACAGTCTTATGACACTCTACTGACATTTTTTAAATGATCACATTTCTTATAGCACTATGCTTATTTCAGACGATGCTGTTAATAGTAGGGTCGCATCAAATCCACATTTTTAAAGTTCACCCAAATACCAAAGCTATCGCAACAGATTCCCCCCTAACACCAGCAATCCATCTTCTTCACAGTACTGCAGTGGAGCACTTGGCCTATTAAACCCACTCCTGGCTCTGTGTAATCTCAAAAACTGTGGAAGAACGATGAAGCATAAAAATGTGTGAAAAGCCTAACTCAAACATGAGCTGTAGCATTCATTAAATCCACAGATGTCTTCCATTTCGAAAGAGACACAAACTTCTGTTGTTTCATTGCATTAAATGAAACTTCTATGTTCTTGTTATGCGTTTCGGGAAAGCTGTGAAGCATGTTGTGTTGATGTGTTGATACAGTGTCCTAACTTACCCACATCTTATTCTGAAATTTAGCTCTGTGCCAACTGATCAAGAAGAACAGACGAAAAAAATACCCGCTTGACTCGAATAGTACACAGGCAGGCTATGAATGATTTAAAATGCCTCAAAAGATTTCAAAGGACAAATGCTCCCTAATTTGTCAAATATTACATGTGGAAATTCTGGCGGGCCTTGTGTACTTCTCGTGCAAGACAAATTCACCTCAGATAGTTAAGCAACACAGCCATGTGTCTTGGTAGACACGCAGGATTAGAGTTTGGGCAAATCTAAAACCTGCTAAAAAAGGGAGATTTAAAAAATCACAAAATCCAAAATCCATGCTTCAGTGCATACCTTACTTTAAGTACAAATAAATGTTCTGTGCAAAGAAGATTAAACAGGTATTAAATATACAGTACATCACTAAAGTGCTACTTTATATACTGGAAACATTGAAAGTGAGCATCGAACCAATGAAATCTGCTGTGTTTTCAATGCATCTGTTTAGAATTAATTGCAATAGAAACTGTTTCAGATCTTGTCATGCAAAACACTTTAGGTCAAACCTTTGCAGTTGGTAACTGGGTGTGGATAACACTTTGTCCAACAGCAGCCTCACAGAGTTGCTGCGGTAATTTGATAGTTTTGGTCAATGGGATATTGGTTCTGCCATGACTGGGTACACCAAAGGAACAATAACTCGTTTCTGGTTGTGGTCTTTGTCTTATCGACTAACTGTAGAGGGAGAATTCCTGGACTTCATTCCAGTTGCATGTAAATACTGGGGTGCTGGCTTCTCCATCCCCCTCCTCCACTGTTTTATCAGGATTGTCAGTCAGGGTCATTTCTCAATATCCCTGTCCATTGCTATGCTGCTACAGGGAGCGGCGCATTTTAATTCACCCAGGGATTCAAGGACACAAGGGCAACAATACAAGATGCACATTTTAATCCAAGAAAACAGAATACATTTGAATTTCAATGGATTAGATTCAAGTGTTGCTCATTTAGAGTGCTGATAAGATGGCCCTGCGTTTGCTCTCAAGCATTTTCTTAATATATATTCCTTTAGCCTGATGAGGTATTTCTATTATTTCCTCAAGAGTACAGTAAAGATGCTCAGAGAAGGAAAGGCTTCAGGATAATACATTCTGCCCATACTTTAAATTCTCTGCACTTATACTGTGCTATATACACCCCATTACAGCAACCTTCAAAGGCTTGACTTTTCACACAATAGTATTCCACCTTCAGCAAAACCCCACATGCAAAGATGAGATGAAATGGTTACTTACGGAATGGGCCGACTGGAATGGAGAGAAAAATTAAGAAAAAAAATGAATATGAGATGAGTTTGACTTGAAAACGCAAAATGGACTCGAGCACAGTTGTGGCCTGCATGGATAATGATAAATTAAATGGAAATCAAAAGAATGGATTTCAGAATGTTCCATTTAACTTTCAAGTGACTGAAGAATAAATGCACCCTCAAGGTATTTGAATATGGCCTTTACATCTCTCCGCCTAGACTAGACCACAGTGCCAATAAACACTCGTTGCCATTTTTATTTATTAATAATGCAGCTACGTTTTCAGAGTTTGTTAAACTTATTCCACCGACAGCTGTCAAATAATATAATCCATAGGGATTACTATCGTTCTCTATAGGGAATGCATTTTATTGATTTTATTGAAAAAAAAATAAACATCATATGCAGCAATCTTTTATTGCACAATGTTGACATATCAGTCTTCCTGTTGCTTGGCAGCTTTAAACGTTATAATGCATGCACAGTGGTTTCAGGCTGCTGAAATTAAGGCTTGATGTCTTTTATGATCTATTTCAAAGGCAGGTTGGCCAGGGTGATTTATACCAAAAAATTGAAAAATATTAAGATTATGGAAGACATGGAATATTTAAATATTTATTTAAATAACCCAATATCTATGGACACAAAAAAGGCTTTCCACAAAAGAGTATTTATAAATACATTTGGCTAGGAATATAAAGAGGTTATTTTACAACACAGTCAACTGGATCAGTAGTGGTTTACAGAATATTTGATAGCAAACCGTAAAATTAAAAATAAGACATTTTTACCAATCTATTTTGACCAATTTCCTAAGAAAGTCTGGTAGTTCATAGATTTTAAAGCCTGGATAAATCAAAGCTTTGACTTAACAGCCACTACTTCACCTCTGACCCTGTACCTTTTGGTGGGTTTGCTCTGCAAATTAGCAAAATGTCTCTAAGAAATGGACAACTATGATAAAATCCTGGGTTTATAAATTGTTTCTGGCAGGTTGGTCAAAGTTTTGATTTACAGTGCCTTCCAGATTTATTCACACCCCTGATAAAATGGGAAAAACATCATAGAGCAAAATTACTTATGGACTGGCCAAAAATCGACTAACACTGTAATCATAATAACATTGCACAATGCAAAGTTATATTCCACACAAAAGAAATTGAATTCCAGAACACAAGACGGCCATAACTATTCACACCTCAAGATCAATTTAAATAAAACTTAACAAAACTAAACCTACGGTAACTTTCTGCTCTTCGAGGCCCCTGAATCTACGTTGGAAGAAAACGTGACAATTTTAACATTCAGGAGAACATGCTGCATCCAGATTACAACCAGAGAGCTCTCCGACACCATGAATCCAAAGGAAACGGTTGGAGATTTCCAGTACACACTGGCACCTTCAGGATACAAACTGTCAAAAACTACGAGCAGAAATTGCCTGCTGAATGTGACCTTCATAGCTGGGTTGAAAGAGATAAGCCTCGTCTGATGTTTAACTACAAAGGGGAAGACTCAGACTTACCAGGCCTCATTTGAATGACCAGTGCCTACATTTTATGGTCAAATGAGACCATAATCAGAATATGATTGAATGAAAATGAGCTTTTTGGACATGCTCATCATTGTTTTGTTTAGAGTAAGAAAAGATGAGGCTCATGTTTTGAAACCACTCATGCCCACGGCAAAATACTGTGGGGGTCTGTTATGTTTTGGGATTGTTTGGCATCTAAAGGTCCTGGAGTACTTGTCAAGGATATCATGGACTGCAATGTGCCAGGATATTCTGGCCAAACATCTGATTTTCTCTGTCAAGTAGCTAAAACGTGGCTGAAAATGGATATTCTGACATAACAATAATTCGAAGCACACATCCAAAATGACAAAAGCTTAGTTAACTGAACACAAAACAAATGTTCTCGACCGGTCATCTCAATCTCCAGACCTCAATCCAATTGAACATTTGTGATTTTAACTCAAGCTGGCAGGTTCACTAATGGAAACCAAAGGGTCCCGAAGATCTTAAGAGTAATTCGTCATGGAGGAATGATCATAAATACCTCCTCTGAAGTGTCAGCACCTCATAGCACAGTACAGGTGTCTAGGCAGTGTAAAGCCGGCCAGACTTTCAAAATACAAACGACAGGGGTGAGAATAAATGTGACTCTGTGTTTACTGGAATTTATTTACAATATGACTTTGCTATGCATAATGCATTTAAGATTTCTGTATAACACATTCATAATGTTTTAAACAGGAATTTATATACGGTATGATGTCATTATTTTTTCATCAGGAGTATGAATAAACTTGGAGGGAACCGCAGTCAGTGAAGTCAGTGAAGGGTCAATGAACACAGAAATATCTTTAAAGAAGGGTCTCAGTTTTTAAGTCTCTTAAGGCTGCATCCCCCTCGGTTGTATCTGCATGCGTCTTACCATGTACTTGGAGCGTGCCCGAGGCCTCTGCTTTGCCCACACTGTTTTCAGACACGCAGGTGTAGGCGCCTTCATCTTCCGCGCGCACCTGAGTAAGGCGCAGAGTGTTGTCGCTTCGAATCTCATGCCTTCGGAGGCCCAGCCAGAACAGGATGGAGACACAGCAGAAAAGGAGTAGGTTAGCAGATTTAATTACCCAGGCAGAAATATGCTGTTTTTACTACATATAACTTTTATTTGACCACATTTTAGTACCACAGGAAATCATTGTTTTTGGAATCTATTATTTTTGCTTTGGTCAAGATTCTGTGAGCTGAGGGAATTCTTAAATACATTATTCCCTTTCCTGACGGGAAGCATACAGTGCAAAGTCACCTTGCACGTTAATCTACTGACTCGACCAGAAATCTTCCATTAGCTTCTACAACACGTCTATGCAGGAATCTGTTAAAAACAAGGGATCTAGTCACTGCAGTCTTATTCTGCGTGAATCCTTCATTGCTAAAAAGCAACTTTTCAATTATTAAATGCAACACCTTACTGTTGTAAATTGCTCAGGAATTATGTGTCTCAATATTGGACAGTCCTGGGCCTTACCTTAAAAGGCTAGACTCTATTGTGCTGTACCGTATGGAGGATTGGCTAAGGACCAGTGTGAGACTGTGATGTTCATGTAGAGTTGTATTCACACCTACGCCTCCACAGGAGAAAGTGTTGATCTTTCAGCTTTATTTTAAAACCAGAGCTCAGCACCCAACCCCCTGAAGCGAAGCAAAGACACTGCAGTGTCTTGGGAGAACTGGAGTATCAGGTGGCATTGTTTTTCACACCCCTCCTCACACAGAACACACTGCCTTCTGGTCAAGACGATACAGTATGTTTATGTTTAAAAAGAAAAGCAGTACATATTGAGCCAAATTAAAAAAATGATTGATAAAAGAAAAGGATCTTCTTAGATTTTCACCAGACACTGTCCACCATTCTACAGCTACCGACATGGACAAGAAAGCCTTTTAGGATCACAGAAAGATTTTGTGCAGTTTTGAACAATGACTCATTTACAAAAAATGTTACACTAGTATACATTTTCCATTACATTTCTATAAAAGCTGATGTAGAAAAAGTACTGGGTGCTTAAGAATGCTTTTCTAATTGACCTTTTCCGAAATGGTAATTTAATTTGTGTGTCATCTCAGTATAAAACATTTTACTATAGCACTATTTATCATTTTTAGTATGTGTAACTTGTCCAGATAACAAAACATTTCCTGCCCATAAATCCCTTTATTTCACAATACCAGGAACTACATAGTGTTTTTTCATTATTGCAGACAGTGTCAATAAATTAAGTCTCCCAGCTATAATTTATTTCACCACTCCAACTAAAATAAGAATGACTTCTAATTTGTAGAAATATGTATTGTTGAAAATCGATATTTAAGCTTTACAGTTCCAGAAACAAAGAAATGCATATGTACAAAGGCACATACAAAATATGTACAGTATGTGTGCAACATGACATAATCCCTGCAAATCGAAAATGGGAACAAGAGGAAGTGTTGTAAATGACACTGAGTAAAATGGGTATTCTAGTAAAAATAAAAATAACTGGCACAAACTATAGATACTAGAAAAAGGAGGGTAATACAAATATAAATGACTACACACCACTCCGACAATCAATTTTTTTACATTTAAAGGAAAAAATGCATAGCAATATTGATGGTTAGCAAATTAGCAAGTGAGAAGCCCCCAGGTGACTCAAACAGTAGAGGCACCTGCTCAGTGTCTCGAACCTGCAGCCTCAACCTCTGTCTTCTCACGAATTGACAGTACAAGGCCGCCCACAAGAGGTGACTCACAAGTGGTTCAGTGCCACTGAGGCAGGGCTGAGAGAGATCTGGCGAACAGTGACCCCCCTGACGTCTGGAAAGCCGGCATTGAGGCCGCCAGTCACCACGACCTCTCCTGTCCGTCTCCGTGCAACTCGCAATGTGCCAAATGACCCAATGACCATGCAGCTGGGTGTGTCTGAGCCTGTATGTCTCATTCAGCTGATAGCATGTCCACTCATGCCGTAGGACTGCCTACCATGAAAGCACCACAACTGGCAGGCCTATCAATCAGGCTGCTGCCATAACAACAAGGTATGGACAGAAATCTATTCCACCTGTGCATATTTAAGAACTGCCCTGGCGATACTACTGTGTTGACTCTTAAGAGTTCTGTTCACCTGGTCACCTGCTTCGGTTTTTCCCGTGAGCTTCCTTTTTTCGACCCAAGTTTCGCTCATGACTTTCGCCCTTGGATCACCCTCTGGCTTGCTACGTGTGCTTGCTCTGCCCTCCGAGCTTTGCTTCCTCCTCGGTTCTCTGATTTTTTTGATTCTCCTTTGGCTTTTTTGATTTCGGGTCTTTACGGGTTTCGACCCTTGTCTGCTCACTTGGCCTCGGACTACGTTCTGCTTGCTTGTCCGCTCGGCTTGGCTCCCCGGCTCTTCGCTTACCTGCCATGGGCTCCTGTCTTCGATTCCAGAGCTCTGGCTTTCTTGTAAGTACAGGTACATTACAGCAGAGCCTTACAACAGCTGGCAATGTCAGGTTGGTAGGGGTGCGACATTTTAAAAATGGATGAATGTCATTTTCCTAGATAAAAAGCGGGTCCTGACACGGACTCACCTCCCACGGGGCAGCTCTCCCTCTTCCTTGCGCCAGCGCACCGTGGGGGTGGGGTCCCCCACCACCTCGCACAGGAAGTCCAATGAGTCCTCCGCTAACACCACCTGGTTGACTGGCCGCCGGACGAACGTTGGCCGTTCTGCGAGGAACACCAGAGAAGAGTCGACCACATCATAAACAGCGCCCGGGAAATCAGGATTTTTAAATCTGCCTGGACATAGAGCAGCTAAGGCACAGAACATCATTTTTGTGATACTTACCAAACACCACCAGCTCAGCGGGGTCACTGTCTCTCTCCCCCACCATGTTGGTACCTACACACACATACATGCCAGCGTCGCTCTTTCGTGTGTTCGAAATCATCAGCTTGCCCCCTCGGATCTGAGACACAGCGAAAAAAAAACTCTTAGACAAGAACTGTTGCCTCTCCAATATTTCGATCCTTTATATCAAATAAAAGAAAAAAAGACAGTGGATTTATTCATTGAATTCATTCTAAATTGTGCTCGCTTCAGAATTGCCAATGACACCATGTTTGACACCCTGAATAGGTTTTAGTTAGAATTTTATTTAGTGCACCTTAAGTTTATACTCAACAGTTTTTTTCCCACATATTAAACATATATGTGGCAGTTTTACACTTAACATTTTGAGGGACATTAGAAAAACCACAATATGGTTGACAGTTTTACAGTTCTTTGCCTTTTAAAGAATACTGAGAGACACCCTGGCCTTCTACTGTCATCAGTGAGCACAATGCAAGACAGAACAGAACCCCAACACTTCCTGAGAAAATCTGAAGCCAGGCTCACTGTGATTCGCTCGTCCTTGTCATTGACCCGGATGTTGTTCCTCTTCCAGGAAATGGTTGGCTCTGGGTGACCCCGGGGAGGAATGCACTCCATGACCGCCGGCTCCCCTGCTGCCACCACCACGTCACTGGGCGCTTGCCGGAAGTCGTCTCGCAGAACTGGTGGGGGAAGACAGAAACAGGTAAGACACTGTGGGAGACGCTGCAGCTCTAGAGCAGGGGTGGGCGGTCCTGCTCCCGGAGGGCCTGTGCGTCAGCAGGCTTGTGTTCCAGCTCGGCTCTTAACAAGCTCAAGAAGCTCATTTTTGGCTTAGTTATGGATCTATAGGCTTCAATGTTACAGCTTCTTCCTTCTCTTCAGGTGCTTGTGGTTTGGGAAGACCTAGAAATCCTGTAGACATTGGAACTCCAGAGTCAGGGTTCCCCACCCCTGCCCTAAAGGCTGTACAGAGGGTGTTCAGACTAGTTTTCCATCAGAAGGGAACACCACACTTTGGCAGACTAAAGGAACTGAATCCTTCTAAGCATGGAACAAAGGGGATTATTTGGAAACGTGATTCAGATATTCAAAACCTTGAAAGGCATTGACTGAAGTCCGATCAGGAGACTTTTTCATGATTAGCAGCAATACAAGAATCGAGGGGCAAGCATAAAATAGGTTTAGGAACATTCAAGACAGGAAAGGGGGAAAGGCTCTATTTAGAGAGCTCTCCAGTGACATGGCTGAAGTTGATACTGAGGATTCCTTCAAGAAAAGGACAGATGGAAGAACTGGATCACACTTATTGCAGCAAAGCGAGAAAGAAGGCAGAAGTCACCCATAAACTGTGGAGTTTCGATTATATATAAATATATATTGGATCAAGGGCTGGGAGGTAGAGGGGTGAAGAGTAGAGCAATGCATTGACTTCAGAACCTAGTCAAGTCTTCTTCTAGGTCTACTGTCATAGCAAGGCAGGAGAATAGAGAGCAGGAGCTGTAGAAAACCAGTGGACGCTCAGGAAAGATAAGATACAAAAAAATGGAAATGTGAAAGACTTGTAATAGTGACTTTTTTTAATACAAGGTTTCTTTACTGTGTTTTAGGAAGCAGATTTGAGCTGTCTTTGCCTTTCCCTGAGCTCAGAATTTGGAGAAACTCAGTAAAAAGGTTTGTTTTTGGTTTTTTCCACAGACCCCAAACTCAGGCCCTCCCTCTGGTCTCAATTAGCTCCCTATCCCTGTGTTTGGTTGCCTGTCTGTTGACTCAACCATCAGGGCCTATAAATAATTAACACTTTCCACTCCAATGCAAACCAGATGAATAATTTAATGTCACACACACTCTCCTTCCCCACATTCTCAGATCCACACACACACTCTTACTTTTAAGACTGTCTGCCCTTTCCCCCCCTCTCAAAACTTCAGATGTACCTCCACGGCTGATTTTATCGATACAGCACTCCATCGACATTTTTATTTTCATTGGAGTTTATCAAGATTTCAGGAAACTAAAGCTCTAAAACTAAAAGTGTAGTATATATATATACCTACACATTTCCCCAACTCCAATCATGCTATGTAATTTGTTTAACTCTTCACATGAAATTTATGTATATGTGCCTGTGACACACCACCAAACAGGGCTTGAAATGTGAAACAGTTCATAGTAATCTTCTCATATCAATGTCTTCAAAATCAATTATTTCAAATATTACATTACAGAAGTTCCTTGCTAAATGCTGGAAAATTCATCTCCTACATCCATTCTATAATTACATGTATTGATTTTACTTAATGTGTACCATATCAGAAACATTTATGTTAGAAACACCGCGTAATCTTTACTTTCTGCCTCAATATGGTCTAAAAACACCTGGAAATGCAAGCCTTTGGCTGCTAAATAACTAATAAGAAAGCAAAACTATCACAACTTTTCAACACAACTTGTGCTTGTCAGATTAAGTGATCTGCAATTACTACTAACTAGTCTGTATAATATGCTATAAATTTAACATAATATTCAGAATTCAGTTTTAAAATGTTCTTCTCATTAAGCCTTATCATAATAAATTCAGAGCTGATTCAAAAAACATTTGAATACCCCAGATTTCTGTGCCTGGAGGCCCGAGTTCAAATCAGTTTCAGGTTTCATTTAAAACAAGCTTACTGTCTCAGATAAGTAATCAAGCACATTGGTCCCAGTCACTATCCTGAAGGTCCATACCGCTAGTTTTCATTAAAGTCAAGTTTAATTACCTCACTAAATTAGGTAATTAAATTAGGCCTTAATTCAACTAACAGATTTCTTGGTTGCCATATTTGCAAGGGTGTTTTCTATTCAGACATCTGGAATTTTATTTTAAAATAGTTAAGGCAATGGTTAAAAGGCGACCTTCTACATGTTTAAGAGCGGAAAGCAACAAGTTGAAATTAAAACTGTCATTAGCTCGGTGAAGGGCTGAATTGTGTAAATGAAACCCTTCAGGATCAGATTTGGGATGCAGTGCCTAGTAGACATTACTTTACCCCAGTAGAAACAGCTCACTATTCAAGTAGTCAGGTAACAATTCTATAAGATTCAACAGAAGAGATTCAAAGGACAATTGAGACTGAGTGAAATAAGCTCATGAAATAAGAGACTCATTATTCTGACTGCATAAAAACCTGTTTTTATCCTAGTGTCATGGCCACAGATCTCATCAACGCAATCAATACAAGTTCTCCTGCTTAAGAATTACATAAAGTAAGGATTGATTTAAACACTTGTAGACACAAGGAAGCTCACTTGAAGAAAAGAAGATTTTAGTACATCTGGAAAATATCAGACTGAACTTTCTTTCAGTAGATTCCGCTGACTTCATAATTGAATCTTTGAAGAAGCTCATTCGATATTAGCACATTAAGGCATGCAAATGATTTATTGATAACCTAAAACTGCAGGACACAGACACTTTAAGAGTACCACAGCATGAGTTAAGACAGCCTGACTATATTGATTATATACTGATCATCAGCAGATTGTTGCCATCATTGTCAGTTTTGAGAATCACACAGATCAAACTGCTTAAATGCAAGACACGAGCAAATGTCTGTAAAAAACAATCACTGTACGTTTTTACTTTTCTAGAATATTTGCTTGCAAACCAACAGATTACAATCTGTACAGAAGTATACAGATTTTAATAGACATCTCCAGTTTTAGTGGATTCTATGTATATAAGATTTCATTGTATTATGCTGACATTGAGAACCAAACTGATATTCAAGTGCCCAACAGATAAGACGAAAAAGCAACAAGAAGAAAAAACCCTTTTCCCTGTAGTCCTAAACGATACCAGACGATACCTGTAGTTCTAAACGATACCAGACACAGTGATCCCTATGCTTGTTAACAGGTTTTTCAAATGAAGCAAAGGTGTGACTAATTATGTTCACAGTAAATACAAAGCGTTGTGCAACAGAAGCTTGCTTTTAAAAAAGGAGTTACAAAAACGATAATGCAGAGAAATTAAAAATTGATCAGCCTTCGACAATGCTTTCCTAAATACCATCCTACTCTTGTTACTGAAATAATGTTATCATTATTCACTTCAATTCAGATAGTAGTTTGGTTAGCAAGAATGAAAAGTGCACAACAACATAATCAGAGTGTATCTTCTTTTAGTCTGTTCTACGCAAAGGCAGATGCATTTGTAGAAGGTAAAGCACAGAAATACAGGGACCACAAAATATAGCTGCTCTTTAGAAAAGTCTACCATCAAGAACTATGTATGGGTAGTTCAGAAACCACCCTTGATGAGATACACCTTGTGAAGCACGTGCAATAATTACAGTATACTGTCATTCCCATATGCTCACACAATGAGTGAACCTGTCGATGAAGATATAAAACCTAAAACACAGGCGTGTACTTGACTGATCTGCAGGCAGCGCCACACTTGTCATTACTTCAAATTCTGCCCCTGTCATAGATGCCCAAGTCTCTTCCTGCAACACTCCCTTCTCCAAAGGTGAGGTACGACTAGAGGATAATGGGGTTGCCCTCTACGGCAGGTGGAGCCGAGTCAGTCTGTCTGTTCGAGAAAGTGCTCCGAGATTCAGAGTGTGTGTTCGGTGCGTGTGCCGGGGGAGGGCGATCATTAGGAGTGAATTACAGAGCTAATGTCACCACAATGTCACCGCAGCAGGGAAAGGCATGGCCCTGGCTGATTAATGGGTCCGTCTCCTTTTAATGAAGAGGAAGCCACACCAACGAAATGGACAGATATTATAACGTGAGGGTTTGGGAGAAAAAGTGCTTAAATTTTTAATGGAGGCTTGTCACCTCAAGTGATTGTCTCCAATGATGTGAGGGTAGCCAGAGCTTCCTGTCAGCCTCCTGCTGCTGTCTTCCAAGGGGAAATTACACCTATAATAAATCAGCATTTAGATTCACTGGTCTCGGCACTGTGATCTAAATGTTAGTGAAACGTCAAAGAGAATACAGTACTAGGCAACAGGACACAGCACCTTACAAATATCTTATAACCATGTTTGAAAAACATATACTTTTGATTCCTCAGATTGGCCATACTGTATGTCTTCCCACGCATTATATGTTTTTTTTTTAATCTGGAGTCACATTCTCACGATCGCTATTCAACAATACACAATCTTGCTGACTCCAAAGAAAGTTTAACCTCCAAAGAATCAGAAAAATGCAAGGAAAAACCATGTGGTCTTTGAGCTCAGAAACAACCTGAAAGGGCAATCCTCTGGGCAATTCCTGGGCCCCAGTGACGAAGAGGAAACAGCAGACAGGACGCCCCGACTCTTCAAACCAAGAGGCACTCTGGTCCAATCAGCCCAACTTCATTAACCAATAAAACCAAGGATCACAAACAGTAACACAATCTGAAGATTATTTATAGAAACATCCTGGTTGGTTAACAAAGGGAGAACCCAGTTTTAGTGCCAGGAAGTGACAGAGGCTCAGAGAGGCTGTGTCGGTCTGTCAAGACCGATACCAGTCCTTATGCTGAAGTCTACAGCCCTGCCTCCTGTTTGCCGTCTGAACTGGAAATGGAGAAGGGATGAGGGGCTTGATTAGGCATTGGCAATTACCCACAAAGCCCTGGGGGTGATTGGCAGATTAAGCTTGTGCCCTCTGACCCTGATCTGAGGCCCCAGGGGACCCC